GAAAAATTTAAAATACTTCAAACTCATAAAAATGTTTTCTATAAAGAAGCACATACAAATTATTTCTCCACGAAGCACTCAAATTTTTAATAAAATTTCGACACGTGCTTAACATAAGTACTTTCAAACCTTTGCATCTTCTAGAGCTTTTCATGCTTTCATGGGGTTAGAGACCATAGACCAATGGCTACTAGAGGGTCAATCTATCTTGATGCAATTCGATCCCCTAAAATTTTGTCAGGACAGAAGGCGGCCGTTTAGACTCTGTGTGTGTGTGTAAGAAAAAATTGCTTGTAGGGCATGGAATTGCATTAATTTGTCTCAACAACTGCAGTTTACAAGTCAGACTGGAGTTATTAACTTTGAATCCAACAATCAAGGCTGGATTGGAGTTGGAATTTTCCGTAACGACCAAGACAGTTCTCCCATAAATAAGTACCTATAAACCATGAGGGCAACATCAGCATGAAATTTGTGGTGGAAAGAGAGCCTTCAAATTTCCACGATTTTAAAGTCATCTACCAAAGTAAAGTCGGCTCAAGTGGCAATTTGTACAATATTAATCCTAGCTAGAGGAGTTAGTTTTCACCTACCCTTGTGTTAATATTTTGTTCTTTTCTCTCTTTTCTTTCCTGGCAAGCAGCCCTTGTGATAAATTGGTAATATGATTCTTGAAAATTTTAATTAAGGTTATAAAATTAAGGCTACCCCAATTCAATTTTTAGGTGTATAATTCATTGCAAGTATTATGACCGGCCAACTGCAAGTTGTAAGCAATTCTTCATTTAGATTGGAAAATGGATGTCACAAAATGAACATTTTTCTTCTTTCTTTCTTTCTAAATTTAATTCTAGTTTACTCTTTTGTTTTTAAGTACAAGCGATAGTCTAAATTACAAGGAAGAGGAGGATTTCTCACACATACATACAAAACTATAATATTGTGGGGATTCGAACCCGAGACTTCTGATCTGCAAGTCAAGGCCAATATTTCCGAAGAAAAAAACAAATAATGAAGCAGTATTCGATAATTTATGAAAAACTTGAGTGAAGACTTCTTTATTGCATGAACGAATGAGCAATAGACAACCATAACATGTTACGTGTACTCATCCTGCCATGTAACAAGAAAGTCCTCTCACGTAAGTTTTACTTGATTTACACATGATTAAGTATGACGACCCTCAGGTAAACAACAAATTTAAGGAACTGCTTTGTTGAAAATGCAAAGTAAAATGCTTAGGCCTATTACAAGCCAAATCGAAACGTTCCAATAGAGGTCAAACACCTTTGATTATAATAGTTAATTTTGGATATATTTTTTAATTGGGGGCTCACCCAAATATCATAGCATAAACATGAAGCCAAAAGAAGATGTCAACGCATTGTTAATTGGGGGCTCAAAGATTGAATCAACCATGTGCAAGTTTGATCGCTTAAATTAGATACTTGTTCTACATAGGATGTCTTTTTCTTCCAAGAGAATGAATGATTAAATTATTTATCTTCATCCCACAATATAATATAATGATTTAATTTTAATTTTAATTTTTTTTAAGATCCCCCTTGAGAATGTATTTCTAAAGATCAAATTCAAAGTAGAATTCGTTCAACAACTATCTTTCATTCCTGCTTAAATTAGATACTTGTTCTACATAGGATGTCTTTTTCTTCCAAGAGAATGAATGATTAAATTATTGATCTTCATCCCACAATATACTATAATGATTTAATTTTAATTTTAATTTTTTTTTAAGATCCCCCTTGAGAATGTATTTCTAAAGATCAAATTCAAAGTAGAATTCGTTCAACAACTATCTTTCATTCCTTTATTTTTTAGTCAATAGGAGTGAAGGAATCAAATTTAGAAACTCTTTCTCCGTTGAAAAGAGAATTGACACAAAACGAATAGATTTAGGGCCTGTTTGATAATCATTTTATTTTGTGTGTTAGAATTTAGAGAAAAAATAGGGAGAATGAAAGTGAGAATGAGAGTGGAGATGAGATTGAGAGGGAAGATGAGAGGAGTTGTTGGGATGAATGAGTAACAAAAGTGAAAACAAAACTTTATTTTTTAGTCAATAGGAGTGAAGGAATCAAATTTAGAAACTCTTTCTCCGTTGAAAAGAGAATTGACACAAAACGAATAGATTTAGGGCCTGTTTGATAATTATTTTATTTTGTGTGTTAGAATTTAGAGAAAAAATAGGGAGAATGAAAGTGAGAATGAGAGTGGAGATGAGATTGAGAGGGAAGATGAGAGGAGTTGTTGGGATGAATGAGTAACAAAAGTGAAAACAAAAACTTATTTAAGTTTTCCTCTATCTCAATCTCATTTTCCTCTATACTCTAGCACAAAAAATGAAAACTAAAAACTAAAATTGAAATGGTTATCAAACGGGCCCTTAGATTTCAAGAGAATTTATAACTAGTTAAGGATTTTGAAATACAATTACTTTAAGGTTAAAAGGCATGAATTATGAATTTATACGAAACCAAATTTATAATCTTTGGAAATATATGAGTGTGACAAAATCCAATCCAAACTAAATTATGCTTTCCCAAGATGCCAAACTCATCTTTTTAATCTCCATCCCACCAAACAAACATGTTAAACAAGATGATGAGCAAGCTTAGTTCACTGAACATCCAATTTTCCAAACCCACTAATAAAAACCCTCGAGACAAAAGCAAACTGCCAAATTGAGGTTCACATGGACGGTCGATGGCTGGCTCCTTTTTTTTTGACTTGGAGAATAAATCAGGCCACAATCATGAACCCTCACATGGCTGCGAGTGAACCGCACGCTCTAATCACAGGCCATCATGAACCGAATGTCAGGCTGGTCCCGCATGCATCAAATCCCAACCCCACCACCTACGTGGTCACTAGCTATTGGTCCACGTTTGAGGTCGTATCTAAAATTCAATCACAGTGGTATCGCAAGCACATGGGGAGCTAAAGATTTCATGGATGTCACACCAAGGATGACCCAGCGGTTACAAAAGCCACAAATTTTATTTTATTTTATTCATATTTATTTTGTTCCATGGATTATATTTTTTTGATAATATCCTAATTTATGAATTTGTAGGTAAGTTTCCTTTGTAACTTTCATTGATGGATTTTCATTTTCTTGAATGACCATTTTAATTATATTGAAATTGCACTCTTGGATCGGATTTCTTCAAACTTATTCTCATTTGGACTATATGAGTTACAGTACGAATTCGTACTCGATACAAACACCTAGACATGACTCATTTAGCAAAATTTCAAGATCTAATTCGCGTTCTGATTAATCTAATACATATTTAGTACGCGTTCGTACGTACGTACCATAGAAAAGTCGCGTCACTTCACCTCTCTTGCTCTATATAATGACAAAAGATGACTGGAAAATGTAAGCTTCCCCGCCCCGAATTGGACCCCTATATCTCCTTCGAATTTTCTTGCAACATATACAGTCTACCACAAAATCCACCCTTCCCCTTCTTTTGATGTAAATAGTTTGATGTGTTGACAAACAGAGAAGCTTCCTTAAAAATTCGAAAATAAAAGAAGAGAGAAAACCGATAAAGGGAAGGCTAATCAAAATCATTATCACCATTCACCGTCTTGTTTCTAATGGGTATCCAATGTTATAATAATTGCACAGTAGATTGAGAGAAAAATGACGGTGAGTCATGCAACTAAGAAATAAAAACTTCACGAGTAATAGGAAAACCTACTCTAATTATATCATATCGTTCATAATTAATTGACTTTAAATACGTACAATCACCTACAAACTACTAATACATTTGAACTCACAATTTATACGATGCTGGTTATTTTACCGGTGGGCCATCCGTGCAGGTTGCATGTAGCTAATGAAAGTTAGCTTAAAGGGGGACAAAAGGTGACAAAAAAACACATATGCATGCATGTAATTATGCAAATATAAGGTTGGGTTTTGGCAAAAGTAGAGATAATGGAGTTTCGTCTACGACTCTAATTAAGGAATTGGAGTGAGGGTGTGGCTCGAGATTAATTGAAGAAGGTTTGTGTTTGGGGTTTGGATTAATTTAATTATATTGTTATTGTGTGTATTGGGCCCCACTTGCAGTTAAAGCCAGGCGGGGTATATGGGCCGCTGATTACGGGATTAAGTGGGTCCTACAACCCACGTTGGATGCTCTCTCTCAGTCTCTCATCACTGTCTTCTTGTTTTGTAGGCCTTGCCTGCCTCCATTGTTCATTAGGTTTAGGTGTCTACTTTTTTTTACTTTGGGCACCCCCATCTTGCTTGCACCCACTCACCCACCCACACGCTTTTCTCTCTGGTGCACTATGCTTTGCTCAGATCTCTTATTAGCTATAGCTAGTGGGGCTTTTAGATTGTACTGCATATGTGTATCCTTCCCGTGCCCCATGAAATCTTGTGTGGGGCCCCAGAGAATGTCCTCAAATCACAGCCGCTGATCACGCCTCAACTTCAGACTGACTCAAAGTTACTCTCAGTCTCTTTTTAGTCCAGATCTAAACAAACCCCTTTACTTTTTCTCGTGTAACCAATTAAGGATTCAAGATTACATTTCATGCCTAATACGCCTATACGTCCCTCTTCTGTGATGTCACATGACCTTACAAATGAAGTTAGCATAGTAGCTTCAATGTAATTCAAAGCATGTGCATAAAGCGAAGAAAGAGACCAATAATTCAGATTCCAATAAAAAAGAAAGAGAGACATGTAATTCAAATATAGAAGCGTGACGTTAGCGATAAACTCGAACATTTTCATTCAAATTTTACAACGCAAAATATCCGAATTTGCCTAATGAACATAATTTGTGGATGTGTCTCGTAATTTGACAAATCAGCATTGCCTATCTTATTCATGGTTTTTAGTCAGTTTCTTCCGCAATCATGTGGGTTGTCAGAATGTGCCTTGACAAGAGACTAAGCAAAACCAGTATTAAACATCATTAGGTGTGGAGCAAAGGAAAAATTGACACCACCTCTAAATAAATTTTCCGGGAAAAATAGAGAAAAGAAAAGAAAAGAAAAGAAAAAGGTGAAGATACCGACACTCGCCTACAAGAGCTTGCATAAACACAACCTCCCAGCAACTGGGAAATTGGAGAAGAACATAGGCAGGCCCCACACTTATCAGTACAAGCTGCAATACAATTAGAGAGTGACATACAAGCGTTAGAGAATGAGAGTGGGGATGAAATTCATTTTATTTCTAGTTCTACATTTATGATGGGTTGAGTCTGAAAATTCCAAATATTGCCCCTAAAGCCACCTCCATAAGTAGTGCTTCGCTCCCTTCTTTAATCCCTCACCCTATCAGTACCTCACTGACTCTCTCTCTCTCTTTGTCTTTCCTTTTTCTCTCTCACTTTCTGTTTGTTTCTAGGGAAACTTCAGAAAAGAAAAATGGGTGTGGTGAGTGTTTCTGCTTGCCTTGCCTCTCTACTTATCTCAGTAATGTGGGTGGCTGAAGCAAGAATCCCAGGGGTGTACACTGGGGATGCATGGGAAGCAGCTCATGCAACCTTCTACGGAGGCTCTGATGCCTCTGGCACCATGGGTAAGTTAAAAAGCTCTCATTTTCTTTCAATGCACACATTCCCTATATTTCTAGGCAAATTTGAACAAAACCAGTCAAAGATCTACAGCCAATAACTTAATTAAGCTAGCTTACTTACTATTAATTAACTAGAACTTTCATTTTTCAGGTGGGGCTTGTGGATATGGAAATCTCTACAGCCAAGGCTATGGCGTGAGCACAGCTGCACTGAGCACTGCCCTCTTCAACAATGGCCTCAGCTGCGGTGCCTGCTTTGAAATCAAGTGTGCAAACGACCCAAACTGGTGCCACTCTGGAAGCCCATCAATTTTCATCACTGCCACCAACTTCTGCCCTCCAAACTTTGCTCAACCAAGCGACAATGGCGGATGGTGCAATCCTCCCAGGCCTCACTTTGACTTGGCCATGCCCATGTTTCTCAAGATTGCCGAGTACAGAGCTGGAATTGTCCCTGTTTCTTACCGTAGGTTAGTAAAGCTCACATGCTCTGTTCTTTATGCTCTGTTTTTAGTTTTGCTTATTATTCTGATTTAGCAATTTGGAACATTTCTTAGAGTAAATTAATACATTTTTATGGTGAAATCTTAGTTTTGGATATTTTTCAGAGTAGATTAATACATGGGTTTGCTTTTTTATTTATTTTTAAAGTTAAATAAATTGGACCACTTTTGTTTAAAGTATTGTCGTGATCTTTCTCTATCTTGTGGGTCAGACTGGTGGTACAAAATGAGTTGGACTCTGGTCTGGGTGTTTATTGCTTTTGCAGAATGTCATGGGTTCTATCAAATCTAATTACTGACCATGTGTGACAGAGAGCTCACTTGGATTTTAGTTTTTGGTATTTTTTTTGTTTTTTTTCAATGGTGGTTGGGTTTAGTTAATTTTGAGTCTTTGGACGTTTACTGGTCACTTTCGGCTGTCTGGGTCTGGCCCAATTGGTCCCAAACGCCGAAAGGAAATCTAGAATAATTAACTCACAAGAAACACTCTAGTTTTAACATAAGCTACTAGATTTCATCAAAGTGTCTCTGCTGCCATATGCCATACTTGGCCTTACTCTAGGCCTATTGGTATCCACTAGAAGAGCATGCATGCGCCTTCGTCACATGATCATAATTTACATATTTTTTTTCTTCTTCTATATGAAAATTATGATCATGTGACAAAGAATGTCTCGTGTCAAAATAAATTGTAATTTATTAGATAGTTTGACATATTATAAATTGTAAAGAAAAACTTGCATTAGCTACCAAACCTAGCTTTTCCCTGAATTATTATGGTCTTTGGTCTACGGCAAGATCTGGACCGTACGTACTTGCTTTTTGACTACTAAGTCATATGCGCATGTAAGTCTCTGTTTTCTACGTAGAAAATCAAAGACCATACCCAGCACAGTTCCCAAAAGTCCGAGACTCGTTCATCAACGTGGAAAAGGGCATTTGATTGATTAAATAAGTCACACCCACCATAAAACACGGTCCGCGATCCACGTAAACTTTCACCAGCTCGAAATCACGAACATACCCTTATACTTTTTGACTTTTTACGCAGGGTGCCATGCCGCAAGCGCGGAGGGATCAGGTTCACAATCAACGGCTTCCGTTACTTCAACCTGGTTTTGGTCAGCAACGTCGCGGGTGCAGGGGATATCGTGCGGGTGAGCGTGAAAGGATCCAAGACTGGCTGGATGAGCATGAGCCGTAACTGGGGTCAAAACTGGCAGTCAAACGCCGTTCTGGTTGGTCAGTCGTTGTCCTTCAGGGTCAGAGGCAGTGACAGGCGCACCTCCACCTCATGGAACATTGTTCCGGCCAATTGGCAGTTCGGTCAAACATTCAGCGGGAAGAACTTCAGAGTCTGAACAACAAACAAGAAAAAGTCCACACATATTTATGATTTTCCCGCCATAATATATGTTTTTCCAATTTTACCCTTTCTTGGCGCCATTGTGGTGTTTTTACTAGATGCTGTTTTTGACTGGGTGTTGGAGAATGTGAAAGTGTGTTTAGTGGGGAGGGGGTTCAGGGACAACTTTGACTTTTTGGGTTGGTGTGATTTTGTGAGTGTGTGGACAGTGGAGGAGGGGCAGTAGGGTAAAAGTAAAAAAACAGGGTAACAAGTGTAAGGGAAATTAATTATTAAATTAAAAACCCAAGTGAGGAAATTGTAGAAGAGGAGGTTGAGGCGGCTGCAGAGAATTTGTAGCCCGCACCCTATAAATACTGGCAAAGCTAAAGTTGTAGTATATTATGATTTATATGCATGAGAAATGTATTTCTAGACCTAGTAGTAACTTTGTTATTTTCTTGTTTTGTTTTGATTTACTTGGAAAGTATATTTGGTTTGTTTCAATGGAACTTGGCTTTTTGTTAGTGGGTTTTGGCTTAATTCAACCAGCTTTACGCAGTTTATATTGGATTAGAAGATGAAAGGGAGTGTTTCAGAGCATTTATCCCTACATTCGAAGTCCGTTCAATTTCTGTTGCTCCAATATCACATTTATCGGAAAATAAATATCGCATTTGGAGATATTTCCTGTTCATTTACAGATGTTAACTACTTGAAATATTTACAAAAGCTAAAGATTTTTGAACCCCACAAATATTATGGTAATTTTAATGATTTATGATGGCAAATGGGTCAGTCGGTGAATAATGTGCACTAACCAAACACATGGGTGGGGTTGTGGGTATTTGATTTTTGCCTGGCTAATAAGTTCTTTTCGAACATCTGCTTCTGTGCTTTACAACAAACAACTTTGGATTCTAACCACCCCAAAAAGTAAAACCTCAGTGCAGTGGGCTTTGGATGCCTTACGAAAATTTACTTTCAAGAGGAATCTGATGTTGATAATTTCTTGCTCATCATAAGGAACAACTTTTGGCGTTTTTGTTTCAATGGGTTGACATTCAAGACCTTCCAATCAATTAGTTAAAGAAGTACATAAACAAATGTTTTTTGGTATAAGAACAGAAACATACATTATTCGGAGTTTAATATCAATATAGATGCTCACAGCCTCACTGCAGTACTGCAAGTTATTGATTTCCACCATAAAATCTCCTTTCCGGCTGGTGGTGGCTACTTGTTCCAGCTGCATGCTTCTTCACCATAGCAACAACAGCATCGGCATGCCTCTGCCCCGCACGATGATTATTGAAATCTGTCTCACTAAGACAGACCACATTACATATAGCACAAGTCCTTAAAGTATGGGGTGCTGCCCCACTTTCAAGAACCTTCCTTCTCTTAGTTTCCAAATCCTCTACAGGTTGATAAGCAGCTTTCCTCTTACTAGTTTGTCCAGGGATGGGTTTTTTGCCTTTCAACTTATCCATGTTCATCTTGTGCTTTTTTCCCAATTTATGCTTATCAAGTACCTCCTTGGTGTCGCAATAAACATTGCATATGTCACAATGAAGTTTTGGAGTACCATTTCCAGATGCCCGAGAAGTTGGAGTACCATTTCCAGAAGCCCAAGCAGTCGGAGTACCATTTCCAGAAGCCCAAGCAGTGGTGTTGCTCCACAAGGCGGCATTCGGATTTGCAGTAGCAAAGTGTCCTGTCCCAATTGATGGCACTGAGATACCCTGAAAGATGGGAGGGTGGTTAATTTTGACATGAACAATAAAATGAATACAACACAGACATGCAGTGATTGATGTAATCTGAATAACAACATAAAATCATTCTTCCATCAATAGACATTGACTGCTAACAGTTTGATTTTGTGAAAGCAGACAACATGTTAGATCTTCGGACAACAAAACACAACACCTAATAACTTTAATGCAGAAAACAAAAAATTGCAGTGGAGAACTCCATAAAGCACCCGACAAGACTAGCAGTAAAGAGCACGAAATAATTGCAACAAAACCAGGCCAAATAACTACAGAATGGAGAAGAAAATGTGAAAAGAGAAGAAGAAGTAAAAAAGAACAAAGCTTCCTAGTTTTGCTCTCAGAAACTCATTTTGGCTTCACTTTGCCCCTCAAACTACACCTCATGTTTTCAAATACCCAGCGACATTCATCTCTCTCCCTCTCTTCCCCCCACCCCCGAATGATTCAGCCATATTCCTGTCTCACTCTTCCAAGGATGGAGCCATGAAAGCGGGATGGGCTGAACTAATTTCTTTTCCTCAAGGACAAATGCATATGCATAGATATAAATGTGTTTCTATAACCAAAATTTATTAATTAAGGCTAATTAACAATGTATAACAAGATTCGACAAACTTATACCTTAAAGGCAAACAAGAGAAACAGCAAGTGACCCAAGGCCCACGAGCTAACAGACCACATATCAAGAAGGGCACACCCAACAGACAGTACAAACGAAGAAAGGCTACAAGATGATACATACGAGGAAGGACTACGAGAGGATACAGCCAGGAAACAATATACTAGTACAGAAACTAACAAAAACTAGAAATACAAAACCCAACAGATACAAAGACTATTCACACGCTTATCAGTACTGAGGAAGGAGAGAAAACAACAAAACCAGAAGCTGTGCTGCTAGAGTGTATAGTAGGCTGGGCTAAAAAGCTAAAACTTCTAGAAATGATATTTTTTTCTGAGATGACCTGGGCTAGCCCCCACATTGTTCCATCCCTGCTCTTTTCCGTGCTTGATTTGCTAAATCCATAGGTACGGATTTTTGCTCTTATTTATTTGAGATTTCAACTATTCTAAGCAGCAACATAAACTTTTTCTGTTCCTTTGCATGATTTTCCGAAGAATGAAGTGGAGAAGGGAAACTTGTGTGGCTATATAAGCTTGCTTTAAAACTTGGAAATAAATCCAGGGTCTTTGGAAATGAAGGGCCCATTTGATAACAATATTGCTTTTAGTTTTCCGTTTTCAAAAAATCAAGACAGATCATGAAAGCATGGTGAGAAATGAAATGATAGATAATTGTATTGATCAACAACTAAGTTCCACAAATCAACATTTAAATACACACATGAAAAGCCCTGCCAGACCCATTCCTTACCATCTTCCTTTACTTCCCTCACCTCTCCTTTAAATATCACTCCTGTAACCCACTCTATCACATTAATACCAACACAAAAAGGAAACAGAATAAAAAGTGATAACTAAATCACAGAAATCTACCTAAAACAGATATTCAGCCTTTTTTCCAATTCCACCAAAACTAATTAAGGATGAACCTTCCCTGACAGAGAGTTTGATGTTCAAAAGCCTCCCTGCACTTGCTTCTCAAATGTGATTTGATGCCTCAGTTTACTTGACAAGGTTAACTGACCTGGTTGCACGTTTTTCTAGGGTGGGTTTTTGTTTGGGTGGGGGATTTAATATTTGGAGTTTATCTTGATTAGTACTTTGTGGCTTTGTTTACCATTGTATTTCTTTGTTGCCCCTGTTTCTGGAAAATTTTCAAGTTTGGTTATTAATGCAACAATTTACACTAATTAAGGACTCTGAATGATCACAATATGGAAACTAGTTGAAGTCAAAATTTGCTAACATTCATATACATACACATTGAGGCATTTTACACACCCTTATATCAATGGAAATTATTCACAATCCCCAAACCAATTTTATATGCTCAGTGTCTTATGTCAGTCTTGGGGAGCTGCAGATCCAATGAGTAAGAAAATGAAGTTATGGCCATCCGTCTTTGAGAACACAGAAACAACAACGTTAATGCAGCCATGGCAATGGCCCTTTTGCAAGCACCCCAAGACACTTTCCTTCCAAGTTAGATAGTATGTTCAGGACTGTAAATTCAGCGTTCTTTGATCCCCTTGATGGGGTTGAAACACCTGAGCTGTTATTCACAAAGTCATCACTAGAGTCAACAATTTTACAATAGTCTGAGGACTACTTTGATAGGGAGTCCTTGGAAATGGGGGTCTGTGGGGCAAGGTCAGAGAGGCTGTGTTTGGAGCCAAAAGAGAGTGAAGCATAGCAGGCAGGAAGATAGAGAGAGATGAGAAAGAAGAGAGGGAAGAGAGAGGGTGTAGACAGACCAAAATGTGCATCAAACTTTGCCACATAGGGACCACATCAACTTGGTCAATGGAAAAGACTAAAGACTTGAAGGAATGGGGTATTTTGAAACATGAGGTGTAGTTTGGAGGGGAAATGAGTTCCAGGGGAAAAGTGAGACACGTAGCATAATTGGGGAGCATAGGTGTAATTAAGCCTAATAAATATTCTTCCATTGATTGAATCTTACTGCTAAAAGTTTTAATTTTGGAAAGCAGACAACATGTTAGATATTCAGATTCATCTACCATACATATGTTAGACAACCCCTGGCATATATTAAGCTTACAACAGTGACTAAAAATCTATGCGTAGATGTACGTTTAACCCATGACACATTTGCTCCCATACACACGAAAAGTGAATCCACCCTATTAAACACTCTTGTATCAATACAGTCCTGGTATGGCAGAGTGTAGATCAGTTATGTCTTTACACTGGATATGTTCAGATAAATTTCTGATAGACAGGGTGTGTGATCTCTAGTTTTCTACACACAAATTCATAAGAAGAGGGATCCCAAACTTCAGTTTTTTTTGGGGAGGGGAAGTCCTCAAAACTCAGTTCAACCATAGTTACCTATAGAAAAGACAACCATGTACAACCTTTAACCAGAAACAAGTACAACAGGAGTTTCCGATTAATCCCTTTTCTGTTATTTGAATATCCAATAAGTACTGGAACAACCAGAACAAATGTAAAATGAAAATTCATGAGAAGGCTCATCCCAATGGGTCAATGGCAATATATTTACTCAAAAATCCAGATCACATTCAAACTGACATGAAAATGCACCATATGTATGTGGAAATTCATGATCCAAGCAAAACCAAAGTAAATTAATTTAAGTTGTGAACAACAAGAATACCATTTGCTGCAGGTTGACCTCATGCTGCTCAAGACCTTTCTTGTGCTCTTTCTTAAGATCATTCCATTGAGCTTCAAATTTCAACAAGGCTCTGCCCTGCTCTAAGAATGCCTTCTCAAGGTGGTACCTTAGGTCCTGAAAGTTTTGATGCAATTTTGCTATTTAACAGCATAAAATGAAAAATAAAGCTAGTAAGCTACTACAGGCCACAAAACCGGACTAAAAGAAATGAAATTGAAAACAGGAAGCCCTTTTCAAAGGCAAAGGGCAACATGGGCATCAAATTGAAACTCAGACTCACCAATGGCTTTATCCATTTCTTCTGAACAGCTAGCCATTTCAAACCTGAAATACAAAAACACAGCTGGGTTTGGTGTTTTTTTGGCCGGCTATGCTTGTCTGCGAAATTGCAATTGGTAGGAACTTGGAACCCACATGAAAAATAAGTGTTCTGGAAAATTGGGCATCAGAGCATTTGATTGAAGCTCTTAACTAGGAAAAAAACAGAGAAGGAAACTGGGTTTAAAGGGCGATTAAAGAAAGAGGAAGTAAAATGGTACAGTCAACTATGTGAGAATCTGTAGCTGGGTTGGAAATTGAATGCAGTAAAGTGCAGTGTGTTGGGTTTTTAACGGAAGAAAGAAGTGGGCTGAGAGAAACCAAGCAAACTTCGTTTCCTCCACCCACCAATTAGCTCTCTTGCATGTATGCATGAAGAAGAGAGCTGGGTTTTTTTGGCTAAGAAAAGAGCTGGGTTTTGTACCAGGAAATTCTCAGAAATCTGCGAACAAAATTTCCGCACTCTTTACCCGAGTGAGTGTACTGTGTTGGACAGAGTCAAAAGTGTTTCTTAACAAGGAAGAAGAAAGCGGGCTGGTCTTCGGCCCAGGCCCACCAACATGTATGCTGATGGGCCAAGCCACTTTCCTTCTCTGCTTTGGGAAATGAAAACCCTTTAAATTAACTTAACCAGCAAGAAAGAAAGGGTGTTAATCGCTGGACATTAGCATTTTGATTTTAGGCATTGAAATAAGTGAGAGGAGCAAAAACAACGAAAAAACTGTTTAGATCAGGTGTCCTATTATGCAGTCTTTAATGTTTGCTCTGCTAAGATTTGAATATTGATTTGGAATGGAGTTTGGTTTCTTGTATTACAATTAAGGTTTCTTGAATTCAAGGTAACAACGGTTCGATCTCATCTATTTTAGGTTTTCTTGATTTGCGGAGCCGAGGATCAACTATGGCATACATGTTTGTTCTTAGTTACAATTGTTTGATCTCTTAACCTAGCATAATTCTCATTTCCAACAATTCCTCATAATCCTAAGAACTAGATAGCCTAATTATTGTCATATCTACTTTATACAGGTAATTACTCTGAAAAAGTAAAAAATAAAAAATGGACAATAGAGACTAGGGCAATGGCCTAATAGTAATGGATAATGCTCTAAACTACTCTTATTCATAAACAAAAATTAGGAAAAAGTAATTTTATATTATTTATTAAATCCAAAGCGGGCTGGGCGGCTATACTATTTATTAATTATTTTTTTTAAAAAAGGACCTCGGTATAGCAAGGTGGCTATAATGTTTAAATATAATATTTAAAGAGTATAGCCATGCGACTATACTATTAATTTTTTTTTATTTAAGACAAGCCTTTTTTTTAAAGAATATCACCCCGCGGCTATACTCTATAAATAAAGCGGCTATACCCATTAAATAGCATAATCTGAATTTCTCTTTTTTTAATTACTTTAATTAGTAGTTATGTTTTACTTATTATTTACCAAGTGAACAATTAGTATTTATTTTTATTCAATAATATGTGAGTATTTATATTATACGTTTGCTTTTTAAAAAAAATTTGCATTTTACCGAGTCTTTAAGACATTTACGGAAAACGAAAGTATTATTGAAAAATTACATACATACATGTATAATACGAGTATTAAACAGGAAACTGCTAAATTCTTTATACAGGTAATAACTTTGGAAAAGTAAAAAAAAATAAAAAATGGACAATAGAGACTTAGGTAATGGCCCAATAGTAATGGATAACGCTATAAACTATTCTTATCGATAAACGAAAATCAGGGAAAAATAATTATATATAAAAAAAAAAGATTGTGGTAGATATTTAAAATTAATAATTATATTTTTAAAAAATTTAAAAGGAACCCGTATAACCGCGCGGCTGTACTATTAATTTTTTAATTATAAAAAAATTGACTGTTTTTTAAAAGACTATAATCGTTCGGCTATAACCCACACGTAGAATATTTCAAACGTATAGCCGCGCGGCTATACTTTATAAATAGAATTTTTTTTTAAACATATTAAAACGTATAGCCTAGCATAATCTGAATTTCTCTTTTTTAATTACGTTACTTAGTTGTTATGTTTTAGTTATCATTTACTTAGTGAACAATTATAATTTAAATATTTAAATATTTTTTTCATATTAAATAATATGTGAGTATTTGTGTATAATACGTGACTTTTTTTGTGTATTGTTGAAAATTTTGTAAAAAAAGACTTGTCTACCTTTTTAATAATACGTGACTTTTGTCTACTTTTTTTAGCAGAGTATAGCCGCGCGGCTATACCCCATGAATAGAATATTTCAACAGTAGAGCCGCGCGGCTATACTCTATAAATAGAATTTTTTTTTATGAAGTATAGACGGGCGGCTATACCCATTAAATAGCATAATCTAAATTTCTCTTTTTTAATTTCTTTAATTAGTTGTTATGTTTGAGTTATTGTTTACTTAGTGAACAATTAGGGGTTTAAATATTTTAATATTTTTTTATATTCAATAATATGTGAGTATTTGTGTATTAAACACCATTTCTTCAATTTGCATGCAGCTCCCTCCACCTGTTGATTGTTGAATGAATAACAATTAGTATTACATTAATAATTTAATTTAACAGTTAAATTAAATAATAAATAAAATAACAAAATTAAACAAGGCAATAAAATAAAACTGACTGTTCTTTCAAATAGAGGCTTGCAGATTGCAATGTTCTTGAAACAGAATTTCGCCCATACTCAATGCTTGTAGTTCTGCAAGCGTCTGCTCCACCAAGTTACAACTATCTAAAATCAAAGTCCTAGCACTAGGGCTTTGATTTCCAGAGAAATCTGTGTGTTTCTCTCAGGCTACAAATAGGAATGATCACTTTGAATGTTATCTGCGATTTGATTTTTTATTAATTTTTTTTTTAAAGAACCAGGGCTCCTGTTTATACAGAGTGGCTGATACCTCAACAGATAACGACAAACCCAATTAGACAAAATTTATCTAATATTTGAATTTTAAAAAATTAATTAATTAATTAACTTGGAATTGAATTAATTAATTAGGTTTAATTTAAATCGCATAACCCAAGAGCCCCGAGGCCCATCTTTTGATTAATTAAATATATATATATATATATATATACAATTATTCTCTTATCCGGATGTCCGCACATTATTATCGTGCGGATCCTATTGTAAACATGCAGGAAAACAGAAAGGGGTAGTACAAAATACACAGCGTCCGCATGATAATAACGTCCGGATGTCCGCATAAGAGAATTTCTGTATATATATATTAATTAACCATTGATCCAAAGGCCAAAACCTACAAGCCACTCAATCAGGCCACTTGCATAGCCCAATCCAAACTATTCTATTTCCAAGAGTAAGGCTTATGATGACCTTCAAGGAACTCTAGTTTTCAATGTGGAACTAATTTCAACTCAAATATGTTTCAATGTGGAACTAGTTTCAACTCAAACATGTTTGCAATGCCTTGCAAAAACCAACACTGATCACCTTCTTCTTTTTCTACTTCTTTTATTGAAGATATGGAAAGATTACAAAATATATTGTACATTATTTGTTACCTTGTATAGGAATAGTCAACTTCTCTGTTAAGGCTTGTACAAATTAGTGCCTTTAACTTAGGATTTAAATTACCTTCCTTAGGTAGTCTTATTGGCTTTATATATTGGCCTTCTTCTGTATTGCAAATACATAAAATATACGAGATATTATTTTACATGGTATCAGAGCTATATCGATCCATTAAAATTTTCCATTCTTCCTACGTTTTTTTTTTCAACCATGTCAGACATTGCCTCCACTGCTTCTTCCAAATCTAATGGGAAGAAATCAGTTAATAAGGACACGCCGCTGTCCACAGAATATGCGGCTTCTTCTCCCCTTTATTTACATCATTCTGATAACCCTGGTGTGATTCTTGTTACACAGCCGCTGCTTGGTGACAATTATCCTACATGGTCTCGCGCCATGAGGATGGCTCTTGACGCCAAAAACAAACTTGGGTTCATTGACGGAAGTATCACCAAACCTGAAGATGTTTCAACCAAATTTCATCAATGGACCAGGTGTAATAGTATGGTTCTATCTTGGATTGTTAACGCTCTCTCTCCCGAGATATCCAATAGTGTTATCTATACCGCTACAGCACGTGAAGTTTGGGACGATCTCCGTGAACGTTTTTCTCAAAAGAATGCTCCTAGGATATTTGAGATTCGTCGCGCCATTGCCAATCATACACAAGGTAACTCATCCATAGCCTCTTATTATACTGTTTTGAAAGGTTATTGGGATGAGTTATCTTCATATATTTCATTAACCTCTTGCACTTGTGGAGCTTCTCAAACTAGCATGAATCACATTCAAGAAGAGCATCTCGTGCAATTTTTGGCTGGGCTGAACGAATCTTATTTTAGGGTTCGTAGTAACATGCTTCTTCAGGATCCTTTGCCGACTGTCAATCGTGCCTACTCCTTGCTCTTACAAGATGAACGCCAACGTTCTCTTCAACCTGTAATCACAATGTCTCTTGATCAATCTGCCATGGTAGCCAATCGATCGCAATCTCAGAAGCCATTTTATCATTGCAAATTTTGTGATGCCGACGGTCACTCAGAATCTCGTTGTCGCAAAAATCCTGCCAGCAAAAATTATATGTTTTGCAAATTTTGTGATACTGCAGGGCATACAGAGTCTCATTGCAAAAAGAAGAATGGTACTGCCAAGACCAATTCTTCTTCCTCATGTGCTCCCTCTACTGGTTCTTTTGTCGCGACAACCACTAGCACTCCAGCTGCACCAACTCTAACTCATGAACAATACACTCAATTGATTGCCATGTTGCCATCCGGTAAAAATAATTCAATGGCTAATGTCGCAGGTAATCCATTATGTTTTCATTCTTCATTCAATCTCAATTCTTGGATAATCGATTCCGGGGCCACCGATCACATGGTTTCTAGTTCTACTATGTTAGACAACATGACCACTCTTAATACTGCTCCTATTAAATTACCAACTGGACAAACATCTAATATTACTCATATTGGCTCTTCCAAACCCTTACCATCTTTCCCTTTACATAATGTCTTATTGGTACCTGATTTTCGTTTCAATCTTCTATCTGTTAGCAAGCTCACTAAGCTACTTAATTGTTTTATTACCTTTTATTCTGATCATTGTGTTTTGTAGGACCTGAGTTCGAAGAGGGAGATTGGTAAGGGATTGGAACGTGGTGGTCTTTATTATTTGGCTCCTGACGTACCATCCATTGCTAATTCCGCTGTCGCTTCCCCGAGTTTCAATATATGGCATTGGCGCTTAGGTCATCCATCTAAATTTATTCTTCCCCACCTACAAAATTTTCATTCTGAAATTTCTATTCCTAATAATCATGTTTGCACCATTTGCCCTTTGGCTAAACATTGTAGACTTTCTTTTCCCTCCAGTACTATTTCAACGAATGCTTGTTTCAATTTAATTCATTGTGATGTGTGGGGTCCTTATTCTATTCCTACTCTTTCTGGTGCTAAATATTTTTTCACCATAGTTGATGATTATTCTCGTAGTACTTGGCTTTATTTAATGCAACATAAATCTGAAGTCAATACCTATCTACCTCGTTTTTTTGCTATGATTAAAACACAGTTTAATCTTCCTATTCGCCAAGTTCGTACCGATAATGGAACTGAATTTTTTAATCACACCATCAAACAATTTTTTTCTTCACTTGGTGTCATTCATCAACATAGTTGTGTGGGAACACAGCAACAAAATGGCGTTGTCGAGCGCAAACATCGCCATCTTTTAAACATTGCTCGATCTCTTCGTTTCCAATCGAACTTACCTTTATCTTTTTGGGGAGATTGTGTTCTTACTGCTACATATTTAATTAATCGTTTGCCCACAAAAATTTTACACGGAAAAACCCCTTATGATGTTCTGTTTGGCAAGTCACCATCTTATGCACATTTACGTATATTTGGTTGCCTTTGTTATGGGCATAATCCTTCCCCTCACTCAAAGTTTGATAAACGAGCCACACCAGGCATTTTTATTGGTTATCCACCTTCTCAAAAGGCTTACAAAATTTATGATCTTCACACTAAAAAGGTTTATACTTCATGTGATGTCACTTTCTATGAAACTGTATTTCCTTACAATTTATCCCACACAAATACCATGCCTAGCGTCTTACCTCTTCCTGTACGAGAATTTGAGCCCTCTGACCTTGCTCCCGCTTCCGCACCTACACAATCCCTTAACCCCATTATAGAGACCACACCTTCTCCATCTCAAGTTCCCACCTATTCCTCCTCAATATCACATACTTCTTCTCTGCCTCCTATTCCGTCATCTTCTCCTCCATCTTTATCAACACCGTCTGACTCTACTCCACTTCCTCCTCGCCATCGAAAGCCACTTGGTTATCTTAGTGACTACCACTGCTACCAATCTCAAGTTGATCTTCCCTCTTCAACTCCGGTTCAGCATGGCACCAGGCACCCTTTGTCCCATTATTTATCTTATGACAAATTCTCTATTAAACATCAAAGTTTTCTTGCTTCTATTACTACCATTGTTGAGCCTAACAGTTTTGATGAAGCCACTAAATATCCTGAATGGCGTAAAGCTATGCAAAGTGAACTTGCTGCCTTGGAAGCTAATAAAAAAGCCATTGGCTGCAAGTGGGTTTATAAAATAAAACGGCATTCTAATGGCACTATTGAAAGATGCAAAGCTCGCCTCGTCGCCAAGGGATATACACAAATGGAAGGGATTGATTATCATGAAACTTTTTCTCCTGTTGCCAAGCTTACCACTGTTCGTATTTTATTATCTTTGGCTGCTGCCAAGGGTTGGTGTCTTCAACAATTAGACGTCAACAATGCATTTCTTCATGGTGATTTACATGAAGAGGTCTACATGCAGCTCCCTCAAGGTTATCACGGCAAAGGGGGAAATATGGTGTGCCGTCTTAACAAATCACTTTATGGATTAAAGTAAGCTTCTTGGTGTTGGTTTGCAAAATTTTCCAAAGCTTTACTTGATGCGGGGTTTTCTCAATCTAAAGCAGATTACTCCCTTTTCTATCGTCACAAAGGTAAGTCATCAATTTTCTTGCTTGTATATGTTGACGATATTATTATTACAGGTACCGATGCTACTACTATATCAATTATCAAGAATTTGTTGCATCAACGTTTTCATTTAAAAGACCTTGGTGATTTAAAATACTTCCTTGGGATAGAAGTGTCTCGTTCTTCAAAGGGATTGTATTTGAGCCAACGGAAGTATGCACTTGACATTTTGAAAGACTCAAGTCTTATTGGTGCACGTCCTACTTTCTTCCCCCATGGAACAAAATCTCAAGTTAAACAATGAAGATGGAGAACTATTACATAATCCAGAAACCTATAGAAGATTGGTGGGTCGCTTGATATATCTCACCATCACCAGGCCAGACATTGTTCATACAGTTCATATTTTGAGCCAATTCATGCAAAGCCCCCGTACAACTCATAAAGATGCTGCAAATCGATTATTACATTATTTGAAAGGGACTCCAGGCCAAGGGATTTTGTTATCATCTTCAAATAATTTTCAATTGAGAGCTTACTGTGATTCTAATTGGGCTAGCTGTCCAATGACAAGGAGGTCGACTACAGGTTACTTTGTACTTCTTGGAGAAAGTCCTATCTCATGGAAAACAAAGAAGCAAGATACTGTATCACACTCATCAGCCGAAGCAGAATATAGAGTGATGGCTATGGCAACTTGTGAACTCCAATGGTTACGATATTTACTTTATGATCTTGGTCTGTCACACACCACACCAAGCTTACTTTATTGTGACAACCAAGCTGCTTTATACATAGCAGCTAATCCAGTATATCACGAGCGCACCAAGCATATTGAGATCGATTGTCATGTTGTTCGAGAGAAGATTCAAAATGGTCCTTTACGTACTGCCTATATTCCTTCAAAGGAGCAACTCGCAGATGTCTTTACCAAGTCTTTAGGTAAAGATCAATTCCAACGACTCAAAAACAAGCTGGGTATACTTGATCTCCATACTCCAGCTTGAGGGGGAATATTGAAGATTTGGAAAGATTACAAAATATATTGTACATTATTTGTTACCTTGTATAGGAATAGTCAACTTCTCTGTTAAGGCTTGTACAAATTTGTGCCTTTAACTTAGGATTTAAATTACCTTCCTTAGGTAGTCTTATTGGCTTTATATATTGGCATTCTTCTGTATTGCAAATACATAAAATATACGAGATATTATTTTACATCGACTCCCAAACACACACGATATTAATGCCACTTTCGCAGGGATCCTCCAGATCGAAATGGCACATCCGCAGTCAATTTAGCGAAACAGTTGTTTGCTTGTGATGCAAGACTTTATTTTTTAATCAGCTTGTGTAAGTCGTGGAATTGAAAACAGAAAGCCTCCTCCTCACTAACTCTCTAGAAGCCCATTTTCGTGTTCATAAAAAGCCAATGTGAAACATTATAAAGTCTAAATTTAATTTATTTGGTAGAATGTTTAAATACCATAAGATAAAACTGCATATTTTTTATTTTTTAAAGATACGCAGAAAAAGACCAATAACTCGTTCTAAGCCCAAAAAAAAAAACAAATTAATGAAACAAATTGTCGTCAGTTGCACTTGGATTGGATATAATGAGCCTAGTTTAATTAGGAAGTGGTGTAGGCCAACGTGGGAGCGAAAATGGGAAGGCCTTCGTCAACTCATTAGGACGTGTTCCACCTCTTGGACTGATTCTCCCTCGAACAAACGCAGTTCTTTTACGGAAGTTGAATGTCACAATATCTCCACCCAAATCCACATACAAAATATCCTCATCGTTTGTGTCAAAAGCCCGCACCCTGGCAAAGCACCATCCTATCGTCCGCTCTGCCCAATATTTATCAATATGTGGATTTTCAGCAACTAATTCCTTCAGGTCAACCTTTTTTTATCAAACACCATTTCATCAATCTGCTTGCAATTCCATCCCACATACAAAATATCCTCATCGTTTGTGTCAAAAGCCCGCACCCTGGCAAAGCACCATCCTATCGTCCGCTTTGCCCAATATTTATCAATATGTGGATTTTCAGCAACTAATTCCTTCAGGTCAACCTTTTTTATCAAACACCATTTCATCAATCTGCTTGCAATTCCATCCGCCTGCTGATCATCTTCTTCTTCGACTTCTTTCAACTGCCAAACACACACAATGCCACTTCCGCCGGGATCCCGCCGGGATCCTGCAGATCAAAATGGCACATCCGCAGACAACCTCGACACACACCTAGGCACTCAATGTTGAAGAAAAAATGGCTCAATTAAAAAGATACAAAAATTAAAGACTAGCGACCGGTCGCAGGTTATGAGCGACCGGTCGGTTTCAGGCAGATTGCAAAGTCTGAATTGAATTTCGACTCTGTACCAAAGCGACCGGTAGCAGGTTATGAGCGACCGGTCGGTTCAGAGAAAAATCGAAGTCTGGAGACTCTGTGAAAAAGCAACCGGTCGCCTAGTCCTGGCGACCGGTCGCCCCGACTTTGCTGTTTCAGTTTTCTACGCGTTTTCAAGTCTTCCTTTGTGTGCTATCACTTTCTATCGACTTGCAAGGATATTTCTGATCAATTCTGAGATATTAGAAGGTGGCAAGCAGCTGGAAAGATGGGGAGAACACTTTGGCAAATTGATGACTTGCTTCAATGAGTGAATACTCTCTTGGTTCAAGAGATATATGGCAGCTATCATCCATTGTTCCCTTGCTTTGTGAGCTGCCAAGAACAGGTGTCTAAAGTTATATAACTAAAGCAAGAACGTGCAGAACTTAATGATACCTTATGTTGGAGTCCAATGGCCTATATAAGAGGGAAGAGGAAGCAAGAGAACATTAAGTTGTTAAGTGCAAAAGTCTGTGCAAAGTATAGAAAATTGTATAGAAGCTGGAAACTTGTAAGTTCAGAAAATACCAAGGGGAGAGCAAGAGAGTTCTCTAAGTGTATCAAGTTGTTGAGCAAGGGTGAGAGAGAAACAGATTGTGAGGGTAGATTTCTAAGGGGGTTTCCTTCTTTGTAAACCAAAGTTGTAATCTATCTTCATTAGTGAAAGTTCTCAAGGAGATCACCAAAGAGGAAGTAGGCATTTGGCTGAACCTCTATAAACACTTGTGTCATTTCTATTTGGTTAAATTTCTGTGTGTGTGTAAGACTCATCCATCATAGAGTTTGTCACAAAGTTCATCAACAACAAGGTCCTAAGGGGAAGTGAGTTAGTCTTAATTCACAACACTCAACACGTTCAATGTTGTATTCGGGCTTATGGAATTGAACGAAACGACATAATTCATTGTTGACGACAATGTCACCACTAGTATTAGCACCGGTTGAAATACTGCTGTTTATGTTGTTGAACGGATCCACCCCTATAAGAAGGCCACCAAAAACCAACCAGTACACCATTCCATTGTAAGCAACGCCTGGAGTACAAGAGTGACAAGTAAAACTAAATCCTCGGGAGCTCGATATAACTGACTCTCTCCATTCACCAGTCTCAGAAGAGAAGATTTCCACCGTGAATTCCAAGAAATTATGTTCAACTACAGGTGCAGGAATTCGCACCACCCTGTACCTATACTCAAGCTTGTTGTTGGAAGTACTTGTCCGGGCATCCATCATTTCCTCGCGGTTATAGTAGTGATGGTCGCACGTGAATCCCGTTAGTACTGATTCCAGATGAACACGAGGGGTGGGAGGAAGAGCAATCCATTGCTTGGTGTATGGATTGCAGATGGAGTAATCACGTGCAAATCCATCCTCTACGCAGCACAAGATTAAGTCATTATATGTCCCCAACACATATGACTCGATTTGTCTGGTTTGATCAAAACAAGGAAGGAAACTGAGAGATAAACTGCGTGATTTGCACCCGCTCGGAAGGGCAGCCATGATGAAAGATTCCCAAATCGGATAGATTCTGTTTATTGGATTATCGGTTTTGGAAAAGAATAACATCACATCCATATCAGTGTATCTTTCAACCAATACATCATCATCACGAGGAAACGGTTTAGGAACTGGTGTCGGCCAAGATGGGCGTGAAAATGAGTAGGCTACCACGTCATAAAGACTCCAAGCATTTTTGGGCCTCCCTCCACGTCTCTTGAACGAAGTTCCTGTACGGAAGTTGCATGCTACAATATCTCCATCCAGAGCTACATATAAGATATCCTCATCTTTTGGGTCTAAAGCCAACACCCTAGTCCGCCACCATGCGTATATACTAATTACTGGATTATTCTCCGTAACCAGTTCCTCCAACAAAAACCTTTTTATCAAAAACCATTTCATTAATTTGCCCCCATGCGACTGCTCTTGTACTTCTTTCCACTCCCAAGCACTCAGAGTCTCGCCAGTCGCTGAGTAGCACATCCGTAAACGCCCTTGGCACACGCTTAGACACTGAAGACATATATCAGTGTCTTCGGGTGCAAAAGTAGGCTTATCAAATGCAGTGAAACGACAGAATTGATTCTCAAAAATATAAGCACTAGTACTACCACTAGTACTAGTGGTCTTAGGGTTGTTGTTGAAGGGATCCAACGCCATAAGAATTCCACCATTAGCAGACCAATACAACATTCCTTTGTAGGCAAGCATTACCGTATTGATGTCATCAAAGTTAAGGAAGTCTTGGGGGCATTGTATAACTGACAGTGTCCATTCACCAGTCTCCGATGAGAAGATCTCCACCCTGAACTGCAAGGGATTCGGTCCACGCTGACGAATTTGGTTCACAACTCTGTACCTATACTCAGAATTAAGCTCGATGCCAGCATTTGTACTTGTTATACGATCACCGTCGAGCTCCTTGCTGTTATAGTAGGCACCGTCGCATATGAATCCCGTTTTTGCTACTGCTCGATGAACTCTTGGCGCTGGAGGAAGAGCAACCCATTGCTTGGTGTATGGATTACAGATGTAGTAATCACGTGAAAGACCATCCTCTGGGCAGCACAAGATTAAGTCATTATACGTCGCGACCACAGCTAGCCGACCAAAGCCAGGGACGAAACTAAGAAAGAACTTGCAGGTCCTGAACCTAGACGAAAGTGCGGACATGGTAACAAATTCCTTATCTCATTCATCCCGTTCGTTTGTCTCAAAAAGTAATGTGTCCTCAGTTGTACCTTTTCGCACAGAGAGAAAGCGGAGGACAAAATAAGAATCCGAGATTAGAGCAGACCAACGTTTAGACACACACTTACATTGAAAAACAATTTTATTGCGAGGAAGTCGACAAAGGATTTCAACCAACAGATGTTGAGGAAGATCATCAATATTCATCTTTAGTTTACTATTGCTTCCTTTGGTAGCAGATTCGCCTATAAGGATGCGCAGTGGAAACGTCTTGGAGAACTAAAAATTTTCAATACGATATAAAGGAGGGTCCGGAGGGAAAAGGGAGGGACTGAGAGGAAAGAGGATGAGAGGGGAAAGGGAGGCCAACGGGGGCGGCGGCTGGGATTTCTTTCCTTAGGGTTTTCTACCATTGAGGGAGAGATTAAAATGAATAATCATGGCTATCCATTTATTTTTATTTTTATTTTTAAAAGAAGTCCTGAGTAAGTTTTGCTTTATATATTATATTTAAAAATAATTAGCATTAATTAAAAGTTTAAAATATTCTTTATCTCTCTCTTCAAATTTAGGAGCTACTGGAAGTCTCCTTATTTTAGGAGGTGGATAGGGAGGAATCCCGAGTCTCTACATTTAGAGTTTACACATTTACTCGCATCTCACAACATCTGGATCGTCTAAGCAATCCAATGTTTATAACTTGGCAACGTTAGATAAGGTAATTTATGGTACTTTTTTTTATAAAAAAAATGATGGTAACTTGACGCCGTTACTCTTATCTCTTTCGTCTCAAACAACTCTATACTTCCCGTTTCTCCTCAAACTCCTCTTCGACTTTGAGAGTTGACCTGAAGCTTCTTGGACGGTCCATTCTTTTTCTGATGTTATGTTTTTTGTTCTATCTAGTGTTATGTCCGCACATGCACCTTTGTTTGTATCCCTTCGACTCCACCCCAAAAAAAAAAAATGTTCATTTTCCTTTGTTAGTTCCAGCCTTTTGGGCTTTGTGTGTTTTCGTTGGTTTTTCTTTGGGATTAATGAATCCTATCTTTGACCCAAAAAAAAGAATCTTTCCTCTTTTGCCTACTATCTCATCTTTCTGATTTGTTTTTCACACGTAGCTATTGCAAGCGATTGTTTCATATTTCTGAAGAAAAAAAAACATTTACAACCACTGCAGCATATCAATATTCTTCTAATTGATAGCTTTTAAATACCAAGATACTGCTCGAATTGATTCTTCAAGCGCATGAATTTTGATCCACATAATTTCTTATATGATGGAGATTTTTGTCTTGACTCAGGTTTTTTCAAGCTCGGATGAAAAGATCAAAAGAAGAGAGAGAGAGAGAGAGAGAGAGAGAGAGAGAGATGAGGCATTACCGTCAATTTGGAATAAATAAAAATAAAAATTTATCCTAGTTGATGTGGCTAATTTATAAGCATAAGATTGCTTGGCCAATCCAAAGGTTGCGAAATGCAGGTAAATGCATACTTTGTAAATACAAAGGCTCGGAATCTGATATGGAGCATGGTTGAAGTTGTATTTTTCCAATTCTCTCTAAAATTTGTCTAAAAAAGTGGTTTAGGGAGCCCATTACTTTTGGTTAATGTTCTCTTCAGATTCCAAAGCATAATATTCTTGTTTATGAAATTTTTTAACCTATTAAAGCATGTATATGTCATGCGAAAGTATACATAACAGCCTCTTGCCACATTTTTTGTATTGTGTACACAAGTGCAGTTAGAATTGAATTTTTTTTTTCAATAGTATTCACAATGCATAATTTTTTATTTTTTTTTCCGTTATACTTATATACATGCTCAATGATAGAATAAATTAACCAACTAGCTACTAGTTTAGTGAAAGTTTAGTATAATTCTAATATTTAAATACATAGAGTACTTGTTCTGACTCTACATGATACCCAATAACATAAGACCACTTTTTTTTTTTCTTTTTAAAGATCACTAAACAGAAAAGACTACAATGAAATTTTAAGCCCAAAAAAAAAAAACAAATGAAACAAATTGTGTGCACTTGGATTGGAAATAGAGTTAGTCGTTTAATTATGAAGTGGTGTGGGCCAACGTGGGAGCAAAAGTGGGAAGGCCTTTGTCAACTCATCATCAATTCCATCTCTTGTCCTGATTCTCTCTCGAACGAAGGAAGTTCTTGTAGCGAAGTGTATGTTACAATATCTCCTTCCAATTCTATATACAAAATATCCTCATCGTTTGTGTCAAAAGCCCGCACCCTGGCAAAGCACCGTCCTTTTGACATTGCCTGCCATTGAGCAATGTCTGAATTTTCTGCAACCAATAATTCCTTCAGGTTAACCTTTTTAATCAAACACCATTTCATCAATCGGCCTGCAATTCCATCCGCCTTCTGATCATCTTCTTCTTCGACTTCTTTCAGCTCCCAAACACACACAATGCCACTTTGGTAGGGATCCTCCAGATCAAAGTGGCACATTCGCAGACGCCCTTGACACACACCTAGGCACTCAACACGTTCAATGTTGTATTCGGGCTTATGGAATTGAACGAAACGACATAATTCATTGTTGACGACAATATCACCAGTAGTATTAGCACTAGCACCGGTCAAAATAGTGCAGTTAATGTTGTTTAACGGATCCAACCCAATAAGAAGGCCACCGAAACCCAACCAGTATACCATTCCATTGTAAGAAACGCCTGGAGTTCGAGAGTGAGAAGCAAAACTAAATCCTCGGGAGCTCGATATAACTGACTCTCTCCATTCACTAGTCTCAGAAGAGTAGATTTCCACTGTGAACTCCAAACAATTCTTTTGAACTGCAGGAATTCGCACGACCCTGTACTTATACTCAGCATTAAGCTTGATGTTATTAGAACTTGTTCGATTACCAACAAGTTCCTCGCGGTTATAGTAGGGATGGTCGCACGTGAATCCCGTTAGTACTGGTCCCCGATGAACTCGAGGGGTGGGAGGAAGAGCAATCCATTGCTTGGTGTATGGATTGCAGATGTAGTAGTCACGTGCAAAATGACCATCCTCAGCGCACCACAAGATTAAGTCATTATATGTCCCCAACACATATGACTCTATTTGTCTAGTTTGATCAAAACAAGGAAGGAAACTCAGAGGTAAATTGAGTGATTTGCACCCGCTGGGAAGCGCAACCATGAAAAAAGATTCCCAAATCGGATAGCGACTGTTTACCGGATTATTGGTTTTGCAAGAGAATAATATCGCATCCATATCAGTCTCTTTCAACCAATACATGATGAGGAAACGGTTTAGGAACTGGTGTCGGCAAACAGCGTGAAAATGAGTATGCTTTCACTTGAGCACTTTTGGGCCTCCCTATATTGTTGGTTTGATCAAAATCGGATAGCGTGTTGATGAACGAACTTCTTGTACGGAAGTTGCATGCTACAATATCTCCACCCATACGTACATATAAGATATCCTCATCTTTGGGGTCTAAAGCCAACACCATAGCCTGCGACCACGCCTTTCTATTTACCCATTCAACAATTACTGGATTATTTTCCGTAACCAGTTGGTCCAACAAAAACCTTTTTACCAAAAAACATTTCATTAATTTGCCTCCGTTGGTCGGATCTTGTACTTCTTTCCACTCCCAAACACAGAGAGTCTTGCCACTCCCGGAATAGCACATCCGTAAACGCCCTTGGCACATGCTTAGGCACTCAAAACTAGGATCAGCGTCTAAGGTTGCGGCAGCAGGCTTCTCAAATGCAACGAAACTACAGAATTCGTTCTCAAAAATTTTATAAGCACTAGTACTAGTGGTCGTAGTATTGTTGTTGAAGGGATCCAACTCCATAAGAATTCCACCATTACCAGACCAATACAACATTCCGTTGTAAGCAAGCATTCCCCAATTGCAATAATGAAAGCCACGAAAGTCTTTGGGGCATTGTACAACTGACTGTGTCCATTCACCAGTCTCTGATGAGAAGATCTCCAACATGAATTGCGAGGAGGACCACAGTCTAAGGTGATCGATTCGCACAACTCTGTACCGATACTCAGCATTAAGCTCACTATTGAGTTCCTTGTAGTTATAGTAGGCAGGGTCACATATGAATCCCGTTTTTACTGCCCGTTGAAATCTCGGCGCTGGAGGAAGAGCAACCCATTGCTCGGTGTATGGATTGCATATGTAGTAATTGTTGAGAATTAATGACTAACTCACTGCCCTTTTAAGATCTTGTTGTTGATGGACTTTGGACAAAGAACTCAATGATGGATGAGTCTTACACACACACACAGAAATTAACCAAGCACAAATGACACAAGTGTTTATAGAGGTTCAGCAAATTGCCTACATCCTCTTTGGTGATCACCTTGAGAAATTTCACTAATGAAGATAGGTTACAACTTTGGTTTACACCATTCGGTTTTCTCAAAAAATAATGTATCTTGAGTTGCACTTTTTTGCAGATATAGAAAGCGGAGAACAAAATAAGGATCCGAGATTAGAGCAAACCAACGTTTAGACACACACTTGCATTGAAAAACGATTTTATTGCAACCAAGTCGACAAAAGATTTCAACTAACAGATGTTGAGGAAGATCATCAATATTCATCTTTAGTTTAGGCTTCCTTTGGTAGCAGATTCTGGAGAACAAAAAAATTTCAATATCGATGTGTAAAGAAGAAGTACTGAAGAGAAGTATGAAGTAAATATCCGATGGAAAATTGGAAGGGGAAACAAAAGTAAGTCAAGGAAACTAAAATCATGACCAAAATATATAGGAAACTAAAATCATGACCAAAATATAATAGGAAACCAAAATCAACTAGGAATCCGATAAAAATTTACTTACTAGGTCACAATCAATTGAGCCAAACAGTTGTTTGCTTGTGATCTAAGACTTCTATTTTTTATTCAGCTTGTGAGGTTTTTTAATTATCTTTTCAATAATCCTTATAAACAAAAAAAATTAAAGTGAAAAATAAAAATAAAAAAACCTAGCGTCCCTGGTCTGTAGCCTCACGTCTGTTCTCTACTCTTTGTATCGTCTCCAACACTCCCTTCCCTCCATTGTTGTTGCACTGTGATAGGAAACAGTATCGCTAGAACGTGGCTGAGAGTCGGAGTTTCTTTAGGATTTGATTTCCTGATTTGTAGGCAATACTATAGATTCTCCTCTCTATCAGAAAGGAAGGAGATCCAAACTAGGGATCACGGTTTCCTCAATATCCTGGTCTCTTCTTTCTTCTTCTCCATATAGATTATCCAAGGACGTTTCAATTTTCCTAGAAAGAATAATTTTTGTTTAAGCTAACAGGCTCTTTATCTCTTTCCCCCTCTCTCTACTCTCGCTCATGGGCGTTACTGATATCCCAATACCTTCTATCCCAAGGATGACTATCCCAATGATGCCTCTTTGGAATTGGAATGACCATCAGCCAGAGAATGCTGCTCCATCACCATCACCTGTTGATTCTGATAATCCAGGTGTTCCAATACTTTTTCTAGTAGTCTTATGGACCTTCTTCCTCATAGTCATGTGGTGGTGGCACCGGCGGATTGATCAACGCCACGTCGATCTCGAAGCACCACGGAAAAAATGACCGCCACCATGACCGCAGTCAAATCTTCTTCATCATCAAGCTCCAATAATCCAAGATATATATATGCTGCTGGTTTTTGAGTTATGTACGTACCTAGCTTTGTGTAATTTTGAGTTAATTGTTGTCTACAATATTGTGCCTGTTGCATGAAAATATTAGTAGACTTTCGTTTTGGGAAGTATACATTTTTGTGATTCATATTCATCTTTGCAAATACTAGCCATACCATTAAACACGAAACAGCAGTTTCATCTAATCTTGTATAAACAAAGACAGATAAATTAAACAAAACTCTCATACTCTGGTTGTTTACTTGTAATTCTTAATTCTTACGGGGAACTAATGTTGTTGGTCCCGACTCCCTTCTTGTATGCGCAGTTGCTCACAATACTTTCAATCACTGAGTAAATGAGCTAGGACTAAAATTATGTATTGCAAAGGAAACATGGATGAAGGTCAAGTTTTCTTGGCCATATAAATATTTGATAGCATTTATGTTCATAAAATGGCCTAAATTATAGCTGATGTTTATAAGTTAAAATAATTGTTTACAGCCTTCGTAATGGCTAACCACAGACCGTTAATCCTACCTACCTTAATTTCTAGCCTAAATCTTTTAGCCCTGACTTGATCAGCTTGAGAAGACTCTTGTTCTAATTTCCTCTTCACAAGCTCCACACCTCCCATCACGCCCTGAATTTTCTTCATGACTCCGGCTCTTCCTTGTTCCAGTGCAGCCAATTCTGCCTTTACCCTGCCAATTTTTGAGTCATAATCCTCCAGCTCAGCTTCACAGGCTTGACATATCTCTACTCCATGTTTGATCTTAACCAGGTCTTGTTCATGATCAGTCAAGAACCTTGTGCAGTCATGGAGTTCTTGTTTCTCTTGGATGTTTTCAGCAATACGAGCATCAAAGTAGTTGAACATTTTGCGAAGCCTGTTTAGCAGTTGTTCAGGGAGCAGGTTCTGAGCATGCAGGACTTCCAGAGCCTCCTTTATCTCTTCAAAGTTTTCTTCAGCGGAAAAAGTTTCCAGGTCTCTGGAAAGCCAAGTCCTGAGAGTTTGTTTGGCTTGCTTTGCTGCATTTGAGGCATGTGTTTCATCCCGAAGTTGAAGAAGCTGTTTGGCAGAAGAAAGTTGGAGCAGCACTCGATCTTCTTCAGAGATAGTAGCTTGTTCAGGGACTTTTTGGCCGTAATTAGTATCAGTGGCTTGTTCAGGTGCAGTGATAGGCTCGAAGATCTCATTGGTTGGGATGCCTATCTCCTGCCCTGTTGTGGCTTGCACGCTTTCAGGGCCAGCAGCCTGATAACAAGTAGATAATGGTAAGTTTAAGTTGGAGTATATAATAATCATAAATAAAAGTGGAGAAGAATTTACTTCTTCAGGAGTTTGAGATGGACTTGGCTCTGGGATAAGGTTCTCCCCGTTCCCTAGACCTAGTATGTCCTGTATGTCCTGCCCAGAAATAAAGATCAGTCTAAGATAATTGTCCTAAAAATCCTAAAGAGATTGTTTACCATCAATCGCCGGTATTCTTAACAAAGTGTTTAATGGCAGACCTCCGAAGAATAGACGATGCTTCCATCAAGAATCAGACTGCCAGGTCCTGCGGCAGGTTCATTAAAGCCGCTTTCTGGTTCCTTACCCTGACAATGATTGTCGATATAAAATGCTAAGGTACCATTTTAAAGAAGGCACTAAATGAGTTCCTAATTTAATAATAATTGACGAATATGACAGGGTATATCGAACAATAAATTCTTCCACTAGATTAGCAAAAGGGAAAACTAAAAGATAGTTAGCAAGGAAGAGCTACTTAAATCTTCAAAATACAACATTGTAAAACCTTAACCAGAACCAAGTAGGACAGCAGTGTCCCATGAATCGTTGATATTCTATGAAAATCAAATAAGTTCATGAACAAGAACAATATAAAAGAAACTTCATGAGAAGGTTTGGATACCAATGACAATGCATTGAAATGAAATTCCAGCTCATATTTGAACTGAGATAAAAATGCACCAACAAAGAAGTCCCTGAAAGCTGTAAATATTTGTTTAATCCAAACAAAAACCCAAGTTAATTGATTTAAAGTTGAGAACGTTAAGAATACCATTTTTTGTAATTGCTTTTCAAGATGTTTCTTTTTGTTTTGATCTTCACTCTGCTCCAGCACTTTGCTAATATCTTTCTTAATATCTTTCCAGTGAACATCAAACTTTGTCAAGGCTTTTTCCTCCTCTAAGAATGCCTTCTCAAAGTCATCACGCAGGTGATGAATATCTTGCCGCCATCTTGCTATTTTGACAACATAATAAAATGAAAAATAAAGGAAAATACTAGAAGAATAAAACTGAATGCAGTAAAACCAAATTTAAAGATCATTCTTTGATTAGGAAAAGAAATTTGGGAATCCACCACGATAAAGGGACGAATCTTTCATAAATGTTTTGGTAAAACAAATCTGTGCAAGACCATAAGATATACATGACTCTAAACACTAGCATTGATTTTCCTATTTATCTGACTTTTCTCAGCAACCAAACAATGTTTTTCATTTTGTTAACAATATAAACCACATACGAGCAAAATCATCAATATGCAAACCAGAATGTCCTCAGAAAATCTTCTGTTGGCTGCCCAGAAAAACAAAACTCCAACTTTGCACACTTACAGAAGTAATTTGAATCACAAGCTCAAATAGCCCTTTCGAGAAAGCAGCAGCAAAATCCCACTTCCAATACAACTGATTTTGTGTAAGAAACGTACTGTTGCTTACCGTGTAGAATTAACAATTCATATCTTAGAATTAGTTAAGACAAAACTCAAACTCACCAATATCCATTTCTTCTGAAGTGCTGTAAAGAGAAAAAAAAAGTTAGATCAAATTTAAACCGTCTCCAAAACAACTAAACAAGGAACTAAAAGGAACTCAAAAAAAATACAAATAAAGGAACTGAGATTAAGGGCCCTTTTGCATTTCTGCATAGACTGCATGGGTTTGGTTTTGCAGAAGGAAAATCATCAAACATACAGGACTGGACTGAGAACACTACCACTGATCTCTTATTTTTCTGACATTTTCTCAGCAGCCAAACAATAAATTTCATTTTTGAATTAAGAAAACCACACAAAATCATCAAACAGAAACAAAAACCTTTTCTTTGTTTCTGTATTTAGCTTGAACTCTTTTCGGATTAAAATTTGCAAGTGAAAACAGGTTTACCAGTTCAATTATTTTCCTTCTCTGGAACAAACTCCAAGGCAACAACTAGGTGCAGCCTTGTTCAGAGTAATATTTATTTATAAATTTACGGAGAAAGACCAAACTTGTTCCGAAAATTGGTTGCTAGAAGTGCTATTCACACAAAACTGGTTACTACTAGCGTGCAGGGTACGCAAGCCAGGACAAATCTACTTTATCAACATTCACCTGTTGGGCAAACAAGCATTTATTTTTGGTCATCATAGCACTTGTGGCTTTATCAACATTCACCTGTTGGGCAAACAAGCATTTATTTTTGGTCATCATAGCACTTGTGGGTTTAATGCATTTTAATTTCAGCGTGCGAGGCCAATTATTGTCAAAATGCCATTAATTGGGAGCTGGCTGGCTAATTTCAAGCCATTTTTCAAGAAGGGGCAGTCTCTTCGTTTTAAGTGTCAATTACACTGATATCATGTCCAACTTAAAGCATCTACAATTATAGTCTCTGTTTTTTACATATTACGAGCACCTTTCTGGAGAAAAGTTTGGTCCCAAGAGGTACCACAAAAACTCTTATATTTTAATTGGAGAGCTATTAAAAATTATCTTCCTTGTAGGTCAAATCTGTTGCAAAGAAAGATAATTTCTGATGATTCTTGCCCCATTTGTAATGTGAATTCTGAGACTGTTATTCATGCTTTGTGGAGCTGTCCTAATGCCCAAAAAGTTTGGAAAAAAGTGTTGTTCAGGGAGGTCTTTACAGGGCTACATTTTTCCAACTATGGGGATCTGTTTGAAATTGCCCCTATGTATCTCTCGAAGTATGAAATGCGCTTGTTTTTATATATCTGCTGGAATCTGTAGCAAAACAGAAATAAAGCTGTCATTGAAGGTTGCTCTAGTGCCCAAAATGTGATTTTCAATAGAGCTTTTTTTTTGGCTGATGAATATGAAAGTCTTGTGAAAGGGGAACCTAAGTTAATTGTAGAAAAACCAACCAACTGGTCTCCTCCTCCTGCTGGTAGATATAAACTGAATGTTGATGCTGCTTTTATTCCCGAAACAGGTGTGAGTGGAATTGGTGCTGTTGTTAGAAATGACAAAGGGGAAGTGATGGCGGCTATGGCCCTTCCTCTTGCCAATGCCACCTCATCTAAACATGCAGAGATCATGGCGCTTCAGTTCGGGGTGAATTTTGCTCGGGATGCTGGCTTTTCTTCTTTCTTAATGGAGTCTGATTCACAAGGGGTGGTAAATGATGTAAAGAAGGATGAGGAAGAGTCGTGGGCATCAGACGGGCATCTTTTTGATAATATTAAGAGGAATCTACAACATTCTGAAGAAGTTACTATCTCTTTTAGTCCAAGAGGGTGTACCCAAGTAGCTCATTTCCTAGCAAGGCATGCTCTTAATTGTGATACTATGGTAACCTGGATTGAAGAGGTTCCCTTCTGGCTGGAATCAGTTGTAAATGATGATATTGTTGTATCCTCTTAATTTTATCAATGAGTTCTTCTTTCCCCCAAAAAAAAAAAAAAAAACTTATACATCAGTTTTCTTACGCCAACTTACGTGGAACATCACATGACAACTTATCTCAACCATAAATTCTAGTCCAATCAAACATACATCAAATGCAATACAAGTGTTATCCAGCTTATGGCAAGCCAAGTCAATCCAAGACAATCCAAGTATTTAGTCCAATTCATAACAATCCAACGTACCAAACGACCTCTTAGTTCTTGGTTACTTCAAATTTTAGTATTGAACCCTTTCTAGCATCGAACCCTTTACTTAAATTTTTAGGATTTTATTTTGGTTAAACATTTAATTACTAAGGATTAATGCATTTGAAGAAAAAGAAAATAAGCTAGGACTGAAATTATGTATTGCAAAGCAAACATGGATGAAGGTCCAGTTTTCTTGGCCATATAATATTTGATGGCATTTGTGTTCACAAAATGGCAACAGTTATGGCTGATATGTTTAGAAGCTAAAATAATTGTTTATAGCCTTCCTAATGGCTAACCACAGAGCGTTAATACACTCTGCCTTAACTTCTAGCTTAAATCTTTTAGCCCTGACTTGATCAGCTTGAGAAGATTCTTGTTCAAATTTCCTCTTGATGGGCTCCACGCCTCCCATCACTCCCTGAATTTTCTTAATAACTCCGGCTCTTCCTTGTTCCAATGCAGCCAATTCTGCCTTGACCCTGCCGATTTTCGAGTCATATTCCTCCAGCTCAGCTTCACAGGCTTGGCATATCTCTACTCCATGTTTGATCTTAGCCAGGTCTTGTTCATGATCAGTCAAGAACCATGTGGTGTCATGGAGTTCTTGTTTCTCTTTGATTTTTTCAGCAATATGAGCATCAAAACCAAAATGGCCAATGAACATTTTGCGAAGCATCCTTAGCAGTTCTTCAGGGACCAGGTTCTGAGCATGGAGGACTTCCAGAGCCTCCTTTAGCTCTCCAAAGTTTTCATCGGGGGAAATCGTTTCTAGGTCTCTGGAAAGCCAAGTCCTGAGAGTTTGTTTGGCTAACTCTGCTGCATTTGAGGCCTGCGCTTCATCCCGTAGTTGAAGAAGCTGTTTAGTGGAGGAAAGTTGGAGCAGCAGTCGATCTTCTTCATAGATAGTAGCTTGTTCAGGGACAGCAGCCTGATAACATGTATATAATGGTTAGCTTAAGTTGGAGTATAATGATCTTTAAGAAAACTGAAGGAGAGGAGTTTACTTCTTCAGGAGTTTGAGAAGGAATTGGCTCTGGCATAAGGTTCTTCCCATTGCCTTCAGCTAGTTTGTCCTGTCCAGAAATAAAGATCAGTCTGAGATAATACCTAACAATCCTACAGAGATTGTTTCCTGTATTCTTAACCAAGTGTTTAACGGCAGACCTCCAAAAAATAGGCAGTGCTTGCATCAAGAATCAGACTGCCAGGTTCTGTGGCAGGCTCATTAGAGCCTCCTTCTGGTTCGTCACCCTGTTCAGAAAAATGAGTGTCAATATAAATTGTTAAGGCACCATTTTAAAAAAGGCACTAAATGAGTTCCCAATTTATTAATAATTGCCAAATACGACTGCGTATATCGAATAAATACCATACGTGTGCAGACACTGGTATATCAACCATAAATTCTGCCACTAGATTAACAAAAGGGAGAACTAAAAGATAGTTAGCGAGGAAGAGCTACTTAAATGTTCAAGACAACATTGTGCAACCTTAACCAGAACCAAGCAAGTAGGACAGCGGAGTCCCATGAATCGTTGATATTCTAAGAAAATCAAATAAATTGAACAAGAACAATGTAAAAGAAACTTAAAGAGAAGGTTCTGATACCAATGGCAATATGCATTGGATTGAAATCCAGCTCATATTCGAACTGAAATAAAAAAGCACCAACAAGGAAATCCCTGAAAGCTGTAAATCTTTTTTGTTGTCAATTTATTTGAAGTTGAGGGCATTAAGAATACCATTTGTGGCAATTTCTTTTGAAGTTGTGTCTTTTTCTTAAGCTTTTTCTTTTGAGCTCCACTCTGCTTCAGCTCTTTGCTAAGTTCTTTCTTTGGAGCTTCACTCGGCTCAAGCTCTTTCTTAATATCTTTGCACTGAGCATCAAACTCTGTCAAGGCTTTGTCCTCCTCCAAGAATGCCTTCTCATGGTGGTCATGCAATGGATGAGTATTTTTCGGCCAATTTGCTATTTTAACAACATAGAATGGAAAATAAAGTAAGATACTAGAAGAATAAAACAGAAAACAGAACATTCAAATTTAAAGCACATTCATTGAATAGGAAAAAGAAATTTAGTAATCTTGCAGCCCTTTTCGAAGGAAATTTGTTTAACAGAAACTCAGAAATTTTAACCCTTAATGAAGACAAAATTCAAACTTACCAGTGCAACAATCCACTTGGTCTGAACTTTTAGACATCTCAAAGACTCAAACCTGCAATACAAAAAGGAAAAGAAATAATCAAAGATTCATATTCAATCCAATTTCTAAAATGCAACTAAACAATCAGATAAGCTAGAAAAATAAATAAATTAAAGGTTCCCAACTAAATCAAATTTGTCCAAGACCGTAAGAGATACATCACTCAAAACACTAGCATTGATTTTTCTATTTATCTGACTTTCTTAGCAACCAAACAATGTATTTCATTTTGTTAACAACATAAACCATGTACAAGCAAAAATCATCAATATGCAAAACCAGAATGTCCTTAGAAAATCTTCTGTTTGGCTGCCCAGAAAAACAAATAGCCCTTTCAAGAAAGCAGCAGGAGAACCCACTTGCAATACACTACACAGCAATTGGTTTTGTGTATAAAAAAAAATGTACTGTTGCTTACCGTTTTAGAATTAACAATTCAGATTTGGACTTTGGCGAAGCTAAACCCACTTCTTCTCTATTCTGTATACTCTTCTTATATAAGTCTGGCCAGCCAGCTTTTCATCCATATCCTTAATCTGTATACTCTTCTTATATAAGTCTGGCCAGCCAGTTTTTCATCCATATCCTTAAAAATCTATTAAGGAAAATTTATTTATTAATGACTCTTCTTCTTTTTACTAAACATGGCGATTCACAGTGAGTCCAAGTACAAACGAATGAAATCTTGCTACCTCATTTAGGATTTAAAAAAATTTCGATACAAGTTGGCGTCTCTAGAAAACGAGTTGGCGCCTCTAGAATTATTGAAGAAGGTCCCATATTCCAAAAATCAATTCTATTATTCCCACATGCTAATTCATCTTTTAAGTAAAAATTAACCACTCTTGTCTTTTGAATTAAAATGGCATATATGTTGTGCAGCACAATCCTCTATACTTTTTTTATGGTCATAGTGCATCACAATCTCAAACACCAAACGCCGCAAAATCATTTAGTAAGTGGCACTCTTATTAGCATTTTGGTGACTTTCAAAACTTCTGTTTTCAAGATTGGCTAAATCAACAAACATGGTCAAGAGACTAATTTTTCAAGGCACTTCAGTTATAATAAATAACTTAATTCTGCAGAAGTTAAAGAGAGATACAATTCAATAAACCAATGGAGTCAAAACCAAAAGAAACTAAAAAACACACATATACGTACACTGATTAACTCCTAACAAGCATCCTGCAGTTCATCATTATTCCTTTCCGCTCCTCGACAATGAATGCTCTATAAAGTTCTTCAGCATCGTCAACTCCTCCTCCTTCTCCCTTAACTTATCTTGAATTTCATCCATCTTCGTCATCACTTCGAAATCGTCATCTTGATCATCCAGTAGTCTCATCACTTTAAAAGCACATCTCAGACGCTTTATCTCCAGCTCCAGTGACCGTTTGACATCCAGCTGCTTTTGCAACTTGTTTAGTTTCTCCTTTTCTCTCTGCAATCGAAACTCAATCACAAAGATGAAATTTCAAAGATTCATTCACCAAAATCACAAGTGATGATAAAAAAACAAAGAGTTATGGGAAAACAAACCATGTGTTCTGCCAACCGTAGCAGATTTTTGTCAGACTTCTTTTGCATTGAGGTAGCCTTCTCATTCTGAAAGAGAAAAGAACTCTATCAGCGAACACTATATACTAACTGCCAAGAATACTTCTATCAAATTAGACAGAAGATTAGCAAAAGGAGAGAACTAGACAAAAGAAGAGAGAGAAATGCAGGTTAAATTTGAACCACTTCAAGGTCTAATTGAATATCAAATAAGTGAGAAGCAAAGTGTAGGAAACTTGATGGGAGTGGACTAAGTTTGGATCCACTTTCCCTAACTTGTTTCCCATTTTTTAATTCAGTTTTAATGTTTACCACAACGCCTACAAGGCCACACAAACACTTCTTCAGCAATGAGATCATCCATTTGTAGAAGCCAGTCTTGTCTATCTTCCTAACAATTCAGAATGATTACTAGGGTTATGGAAACAAAGCAAAAACTTGGGTACAAATGAAAAGTCTGGAATTTAGGTTAAAGCTACCAAAGATAATAAGTATTTTGTTTTGTTCCTATAATTTACTTGTCAGTAACTCTTCGTTTTCTACTAAACAGCCTTATAAAATTCCCAGAAGTTTAACTTGCTTTTGTTATATCTCCGGCCAGAATTCTAATCCGATTGCTGTTTTATTGAGAATTGAACCCTCATTCTTTTCGAACGTGTTAGCTTTAAAAGCGAGTACAAAGGGTCTCTTTTATGGAAAAACTGTATTTTTGTTAATGGAATTGAAAGACTGTATTTATTTAGTTAAGCAAGAATATTATGAACTACAAAAATCTTGACAATCTCTGTGCTAGAGGTAGATTGTTTAGGATAGAAAGCTTCGTGTGAAATAATCACATTTATACTAAAAGCTAACCTTTTTCATTTAGGTCATTGGTTGCTGGATGGGTGAGGTTTAGAAGAAGCGCAGATATAAAACTAAACAAAAATGCAAAAGTAAAGAGGACCACTGCTTGACTTGATCCCTATACAGACAAGTCTCTCACAACATCTGATGCCAAAAGAAAATTCTTAAGTTCCAATCTATTCATCACATAACAGATGAGCATGAACATTAAGAAGCAGCCAGTTGACTCTTGACAGTAACCAAAGCTCTTTAAGCACTCCATCTTCTTTCCAAAATGCCTACCAAAAAGCATATTCAGGTCAGATTATGGAATAAAAGTAAACCTGCGTAAAAGAAATAACAAGTTTATTGGTCTTAATAATTATTTAGCCAAGTTCAATTTTGACCTTGCAAACATTTCTAAAGAAACTTGAAACAATTCTAGTAAGAGTTACACTCAAGTTGAAAGCTGTATCTGATATTTCTATATAGAAAGTACATTTTAATACATACCTTCATCTTGATCTTCTCCTTTTCTGCAGTTTCAACTGCTTCAGTAAATACGAGACACCCTCTTTTAATGATGCTCTCCTCCCTTGTTTAAAGTTCCACAATTCTGATACTGTATACCTACCATGGTGACTATTATACTCTTTCGATTCCAGCAAGGCAGTTGTCACAGCATTGTAGACCTCATCACCAAACTCGTCCTTTAATTTTTTCAGTTTTTCATCTCCCTCATCAATAGTTATCTGTACACTCAAATCCAATATAATCCAGTTAGAAAGGCAGGTGGGAGATGAGAACTTCTGGATGACATTAATCAAGTACAAGAAATTTATGGCAAGAGAATGATGGGCCAAAATCATGACAATCTTAATGTGGATAAACTGCAGAGTCCACAGACTCTGACTCAATGTTCCGACAGACAAAACAAGCTCCCTGTTATACAAGACCTAGTACATGCTTCAGAAGCATAAGCCTTCAAGATCAAAGGCTATAGAGTGAGCAGTGCGAGAAGAGAATAAAGTTAACAAAATGAGCAGAAAAGAAACGTGAAGACTGCAAGTCACAGGACTGACCGCATGGATGTATCTTTAATAAAAACTGTGCTTCTATTTGCAGGAACCATAACATGGATATTTCTTTATTTGAAAGCACATGTACACATGAAAGTTACAAACTAGTGTATCAAGAGAAGAGCAACACAAAATGAACTCACCAAAAGTGGTACGCTATTATTGGTCTGATAGTGCTGTATTAATTAAATATATACCTTCGGTAGTTGACGAAAGGCTACCCTTATAGTTTTGAATGGTTTCCAGCAAGAATCCCTAAGATAACTCTCCCACAGAGAACATAGTGCCGCTGCCTGGTCATCTGCTTCATCCATAGGATATTTTCTCTTGCATGCAGTTTGAAATGGTTTGCTTTCAAGCTCTCCCATTCTCTTCACGCCAATAAAAGCACGACTTGCTGAATCCCATCCCTGCAAAAAAATGACGAGGATTATCACATTGACAAGAAAACATCATGATTCACAATTAAGCTATAGCAAAGAAGTCATCTAGCTAAAGATTGATCAATCCCCCAACCAATTATATCTGGAGTGCTTTAGAGATCAGACGAGAGAGAAAAAAAAATGTATCCTAAATTTATAACAGCGTCACATTTTTATTTTGCTGATGTCTACAAAATTTTATGTAAACCTAAAACTCTAGTAGTGCAACAAAATTGTAGGTGGGGCAGCGTACATAGGTCATCTATCTACTGGTTACACATGATCTTTCTATCAACAGAAGATGTTAATACACATGTGATTTAATTTAACAAGATTAAAGACCAACGCCATTGTATATCCAGATTTGAAGACTTCAAGATACAGTCAATGAGCTCTAATATGTGAAGGCATACAAAGGTTAAGCCTACATTGGATCATATAACGTAAGGGTAACTATTTTAGAAAATAATCTTTAAAATAAATTAACAAGAAGAAACTAAATAACAGATACCAGATATGTATAACTTTAAGCAAACATTGGGGTATTGACAAATGTACTTGCATAGTGTAAACTTCTTGTATTTAAAATAATAGAATTAATGAAAGACATGCACAGAAATTCAAAATCCTTGATATACATACATAGATTAACTCCTCACGAGCCTCCTCTAATTCAGACTGCTTTGCAATAAGTTTATGGTTATGAGCTTCAGCATATTCCAACTCCTCTTCCGTCTCCTTTAACTTTTTTCGAATTTTCTTCATCTTCTCATTCCCATCATCATCGTTAACCTCATCCGGATCCTGCTCTTGGTCCTCATCCTCATCCTCATCATCCTCATCTGTTTTTTCCTGCTTGGCATCCTTAACCCCAGCTTGATCCTTGTCTTGATCACACAACTTTTCCAATTCAATTATTTTCCTATGAAGTTTCTCATTTTCTTTCTGCCGTTGCCATAAAATCACCAAACCGAAATTTACAAAACTCATTTATATATGATTGACTTAAACAAATCTCTTATTTTTTACAATAGAGGGAAAACAAACCTTTTTCTCTATCATCTTTTCATCAGTCATCCTTTTCTCTAAGACAGTTTCCCCATACTGAGAGAAAAAGGCACAGCATTAACTCATATTAAATAATAATTGCCAATAACATCAAAGCCGATCATATTCTGGTCAGTAGATTACCCAAAGGAGAGGACTAAACAATCATAAGATAAGTTAATTGGTATTAAGTTGAGAAAATGATAATACCATTTGTTTCATTAGTTGTATCTCACGCTGCTTACGAAATTGAAGCCGTTTCCAGCAAGAATCCCTAAGATAACTCTCCCACAGAGAACATAGTGCCGCTGCCTGGTCATCTGCTTCATCCATAGGATATTTTCTCTTGCATGCAGTTTGAAATGGTTTGCTTTCAAGCTCTCCCATTCTCTTCACGCCAATAAAAGCACGACTTGCTGAATCCCATCCCTGCAAAAAAATGACGAGGATTATCACATTGACAAGAAAACATCATGATTCACAATTAAGCTATAGCAAAGAAGTCATCTAGCTAAAGATTGATCAATCCCCCAACCAATTATATCTGGAGTGCTTTAGAGATCAGACGAGAGAGAAAAAAAAATGTATCCTAAATTTATAACAGCGTCACATTTTTATTTTGCTGATGTCTACAAAATTTTATGTAAACCTAAAACTCTAGTAGTGCAACAAAATTGTAGGTGGGGCAGCGTACATAGGTCATCTATCTACTGGTTACACATGATCTTTCTATCAACAGAAGATGTTAATACACATGTGATTTAATTTAACAAGATTAAAGACCAACGCCATTGTATATCCAGATTTGAAGACTTCAAGATACAGTCAATGAGCTCTAATATGTGAAGGCATACAAAGGTTAAGCCTACATTGGATCATATAACGTAAGGGTAACTATTTTAGAAAATAATCTTTAAAATAAATTAACAAGAAGAAACTAAATAACAGATACCAGATATGTATAACTTTAAGCAAACATTGGGGTATTGACAAATGTACTTGCATAGTGTAAACTTCTTGTATTTAAAATAATAGAATTAATGAAAGACATGCACAGAAATTCAAAATCCTTGATATACATACATAGATTAACTCCTCACGAGCCTCCTCTAATTCAGACTGCTTTGCAATAAGTTTATGGTTATGAGCTTCAGCATATTCCAACTCCTCTTCCGTCTCCTTTAACTTTTTTCGAATTTTCTTCATCTTCTCATTCCCATCATCATCGTTAACCTCATCCGGATCCTGCTCTTGGTCCTCATCCTCATCCTCATCATCCTCACGGTCCTCATCCTCATCCTCATCATCCTCACCATCGTTAACCTCATCCTGATCCTGCTCTTGGTCCTCATCCTCATCCTCATCATCCTCATCTGTTTTTTCCTGCTTGGCATCCTTAACCCCAGCTTGATCCTTGTCTTGATCACACAACTTTTCCAATTCAATTATTTTCCTATGAAGTTTCTCATTTTCTTTCTGCCGTTGCCATAAAATCACCAAACCGAAATTTACAAAACTCATTTATATATGATTGACTTAAACAAATCTCTTATTTTTTACAATAGAGGGAAAACAAACCTTTTTCTCTATCATCTTTTCATCAGTCATCCTTTTCTCTAAGACAGTTTCCCCATACTGAGAGAAAAAGGCACAGCATTAACTCATATTAAATAATAATTGCCAATAACATCAAAGCCGATCATATTCTGGTCAGTAGATTACCCAAAGGAGAGGACTAAACAATCATAAGATAAGTTAATTGGTATTAAGTTGAGAAAATGATAATACCATTTGTTTCATTAGTTGTATCTCACGCTGCTTACGAAATTGAAGCCCATTCTTTTGTGCTTCACTTTGCTCAAGCTTTTTCTGAAGCTCATTCTTCTGAGCTTCACTGTGATCAAGCTTTTTTTGAAGATCTTTATTGTGCGATTCACTCTGCTCAAACTTTTTCTGAAGCTCTTTCTTCTGAGCCTCACTCTGCTCATGCTTTTTCTGAAGCTCTTTCTTCTGAGCTTCACTTTGCTCATGCTTTTTCTGAAGCTCTTTCTTCTGGGCTTCACTCTGCTCATGCTTTTTCTGAAGCTCCTTCTTCTGGGCTTCACTTTGCGCATGCTTTTCCTGTAGTTCATTCTTCTTGGCTTCACTCTGCTCAAGCTTTTTCATGAGCTCTTTCTTCTGTGCCTCAATATGCTCAAGCTTTTTCTTATTATCATTCTTTTGAACTTCAGATTTGGCCAAGGCTTTATCCTGCTCCAAGAATACCTTCTCCAGGTGGTCACGCACATTTTGTTTCAACTTTGCTATTTATCAAACATGACATAAAAATTAAAGTAAGCTAATCTTGAATGCCCCTTCAAAGGCAAAGGCAACATAAAGATCAAGACAAAACTCCGACTCACCAATATCCATTTCTTCTGAAACTTGAGACATTTCAAACCTGCAATACCGAAGGGAAAAAGGAATACGAAAAAAACCTAAGATTCAACTTCAATCCTACCTCTTCAAATCAACCAAACAAGAAAACAAGGTGCATGCAGATAAAGGTCGTGTCTTTCATGTTCCCCAACAAAAAATTAAGTTCCACCACTGCAATCATTTTAACCGCAGGTCCCAAAACCATATTGCATTTGACTTATTTTACCACTTATTCTCTGACTTTTTCTTAGCAACCAAACAATGCATTTCACTCTTAACAATAAAAACTGCACACACATAATCATCAACATGCAAAGGAGAGATAGTCCTTACTCTTTAGCGAGTGCTCGCTATATGGATGCCCCCAGACAACAGAACACAGACCTTGGGGTTTTAGGAAGATGAAAATATTTTTTTCCTTTTTCTTTTTATGAAGGAAGACGAAAAGATTGGATATATAGACCCATAAAGAAAAGTGGTGTTTCATTGATATTTTTGTTCTTCCGATCAAGAGGTTTTATGATAGACACGTGGAACCGGCACCGGCAGATTGGAAAATTAGAAACACGCGCCAACGAGCAGGGGTACGGGCTGTACCCCCAGAAGTCGATGGAATTGAAGGGTTTTCTTTTCTTTATAAAGTGTTTGCTCCATTTTTTATTCTTAATATATTTTTAAGGTCTATAAACTTTCCTTTTTTTAAACAGAAATACATTACAGACGAGATCCCCATCAAAATAGACTCTAGTAATTACATCCGTAGGGAAATTATTAAACCAAATAGATGAATTGTTATACACATGCCATCATTTAGTAACCATATTAACTTCTCTATAAACATGTTTGATAGTCACAAAACTAAAATTTCCAAGAAATCGCCAAATATCTTCTGGAAGTGATCGTAAGCTCTGTTGTGAAAAATGGACAAACACTTTCACTCACTCCCCTAATGATCTTGTTGTTGATGGACTTTGTGACACACACAATGATGGATGAATCACACACACACACTTGAGTCAACAACCAAGCACAAAGTGACACAAGAATTTATAGAGGGTCAGCAATTGCCTACATCCTCTTGGTGATCCCCTTGAGAAATTCACTTTATGAAAGAATAAGTTACAACTTTGGTTTTACACAGAAAAAACCCCTTAGAACTCTATTCTCTCCCCAAGCTCTCTTTTCTCTCACACCCCTTGCTCAACACTTTGATGCACTTGTGAACACTCTCACAACCCTTGGTGTTTCCTCCTTGGTGTCTAGACTCTCAAGACCCCAACTCAGCTCTAAACTTGAACTGATTGCTCTCTCTCACGTTCTCCCTTGGTGAGTTAACCTCCTTTAAACACAATAGCTCCCAGCTACTTGACCACCTTGAGATTAACCATACCTAACTTCAACTTGCTTTCACAACTTATAATGTCTTGCTTTACATCCCATTACTTACACAGACCAATGGACATAAGATAAGACACCATCTTGTCCTCCACGTTCCTTCCTTTAGTCACTCACTTAGACTAGAGGTTAGAACAAGTAAGTAATTTAATCCCACTTCAGCCACCTTCCACTAAACCAGAAAATGGAGAATGGATTCTTCAAAACAAGACAACCAATTGGCAATGAGTGCTCTCCCAACTATCCAGCAGGTAGTCCACCTTCTTTTACCTCAGAAGTGACCCATTAAGCCTCTGAAATCTTGTGGAAAGCGATAGCCCTCGAAAACATAGTTGAAAACACGCAAGGAAAACATCAGCACAGCACAGAAGCGACCGGTCGCGGATACCTTGCGACCGGTCGTCGCGACCATTTGGATACCAAACGACCGGTCGCAGATACCTTGCGACCGGTCGCTTCCTGCGAATTTTCCAGATTTCGACTCTGTCCAAAAACGACCGGTCGCCCAAACCTTGCGACCGGTCGCATCCTGAGACACCTGCATCCTTAATGTGAGCCAAATTTCCAACAAGCTCCATGGTACAACACCTTGCCTGGTGATAATTTGTACAAGCATCTTAAAATCTCCCTCAATTTCCACCTGCAAAATCTTTGATCTTGCTGCCCAAAGTAACGCTTATTTCATAGCAAAGGCTTCAGCTTGTAAAACTGATGTATAACCTAATGGACAGGATTTGCAATAATTTAAAAATAAAAATAGAAACAGAGAGATAACTAGAATGAACGGCCACCGGCTTAGGGACGCAGTCCGAGGAGGGAGGGAGAAGGGCGGTTTTTTTTTTTTGTGGTGTTTTAGTTGATCTAGTTGATATTGCTCCAATGCAAACAATGAAATAGTAGAACTTAATTGAAATATCACAAAGTATTTAGTTTAATTTACACATGATATCACGAAGGAAGTTTGCATGGCAAAATTCCAAGCTTATTACGTGAATAATTTAATTAGGTGATGTAGAGCACATATGGCCGTTGAGATTCACACATAAACAATCATGGTCTGATACCATATTAGAATGTGAGTGCACAATTCAAAACCAATTGCCAATGGGTTGAGAGAGAAGCCCATCGACACTACCAAGAACAGCGATAGATATGCAGCCATTGATCCAGATATAAGATGAAAATAACTCTATAGCATAACCATTTTCTTTGTTGAAAGCTAAGAGCCAAGATTTTGGTCAAGCAGCGACCAAATGTTGCCATGCACAATAGGGTGTTCCAACTTCTAACAACTAATACTAGTTAGGAAATATAAAGTAAAATTTAATCGGCCCTAAATCAAACTGTTGCATCAGATGCTAAAACTATATTCTTAATACTCAATCTATCAATCAGACAACAGACAAGCAATTGCAAAGAACATTAACAGCAGCTAGTTAGACACTTTCAATTTTAAAGGAAGCTCTTTGAGCACCCCCATCCATATTCCAAATGCCTGCAAAAAGCACACAAGGAAATAAACCATTGTATAAGAACAAAAATTGCAACAATTAAACTACAAGCTACACATGACGTCATAGATTCTTTAGTACCAAGTTTGGTCGGCATACTGTCTTCATAGCGTATTTACCAGTTCAAATTGATTGTAATATTTAAGCAAACTGTGATCACAATTATAAGGGAATCCTTATCAACATTAAGTTTAATAATGTAACTGACCGTCAATTCTTAACCTTGAAAGAGTTCAAATATCTCTTAAGCAGAAAGCTCCATATGAAGTAACTTTTAAGTGCTTGCCTTGTTTATCTTTTCCGTTTTCTAAGCAGCTTCCACTTGTTTAGCAAAAACACTACTCCCTCTTCCATCGATGCCTTCCTCCCTTCTTCGAAGTTCCACAACTCAGGTATTGTATACCGACCACTGGCATTATACTCATTCAATTCCATCATAGCAGTTGTCACCTTCTCATATACTTCATCACCCAGCTCATTTTTTAAAGCCTTCAATTTGTCATCTTCTTCATTAATAATTTCCTGTACTCGCATCCAATATAACCCAATTAACAGGAAAGTAAGATGTGGATCAAAACTAGAAGAGTTTAACTACAAAGAAGCAATAGCAAGAAAAATGAAACAAAAAAATGACAATCTTGTGGTGGGTAGAACTCAGTGAAAGGGACAGTCCACAACAGACAAATTAGAAGCTTAGGGTACAAGCTCACTGTGATATAGGACCTAGTATATGAGATAAAGCACAATCTCAAGTTGTGATGCTAGAAACCTTCAAGAATAAATGTTGCTATACTACGGGGTTGAGCAGAGAATGGGGAGAAGAAAATTAACATGCAGATTGCAATTTCACAGGATGGACCACATGGATATGTTTTTAATAAAACCTCAGGTGCTCAAATTTGCGGGGACAGTGACATGACCATTTCTTTAACTGAAACCATGCTCACTCAATATAAGTTAAATTGGTGCCAGTGTCACCAACAATGGTATTCTATTGAAACACAGAAATTGCTTGAAGTTGAACATATACCTTGGTGTTTCCTTCTTTATCCGTGATAATCCTGAAAGGATGCCAACTTGGATCCCTAAGATGCTCCTGCCACAGAGAACACAACTCCACTGCCTTCACATCTGCTTCTTCTTCAGAATATTTCTTCTTGGTTGCAGTTTGGAATAGTTTTTCATCAAGACCTCCCATTATTTTCACACCAATGGAAGCACGGCTGTTTGAACCCCGCAATCCCTGCAAAGAACAAAATTTAAGCTCCGACAACAGGACAAAAACACTATCACATTGATAAGCAAGGATGAACAACCACAATGATAAGGAAGAATTACTGATCATTAAACCACACAATAACAAAGGATCACGATCAAAAATTATAGAAAATTTGGCATAAGTCCAATTATGAGGAGAGATTTTGGGTGCAATCCACGCAGAAATTGTTGTTGATCCAAGTCCTTTGACTTTTGCGCCACATAAGATTACATGCCTATTTCAATTTATTGATATTTACTTTTTTTAATTTTTAATTTTTTGTTCCAGTTATGCACCTAAAACATAAATAAGGTAAATCTGAATTCCTAAAACTGGTAAGTTATTGATTTGTAGGATATTAATTATCATATTTGGTTTGAATTTAATTGCAAATCTATTTATGAATTCTGAAATTTTCCCAAGGTATACCGACATCAAAATTTGTAATAAGAGTTCATAAAAACTTCATACCTTAACAATAGGTAAGGTACCTATGCATACACCTCGTATGCAGTATGCAGGCAATTAAACCCATAAATTACCTCTGGTCCAGGTAATTAAATCCATAAATTACCTATAGTCTAGGTAGTTATACCCTCTAACCCAGCTAATTGAACTCATATAATATCTTGGTATGGACCTTTAAACTCAACTGAGATAAAAATCCATACAAAATTTCTTTGGAAAGAAAAAAAAAACACTATTACATGGAAGACATGTACATATGTATATAAATATGAACCTCCAGAAAAAAACTACTTAAGAAAACTCCAGAAAAAAAACTTACCTATAAGGCAGGTACATATATACCTGTATGTATTAACATTATTTACCTGTATGTCAGGTACATAATTTAATGTGGATGCTTGTCTGATCGATTGGTATAATATGTGAGTCTTTACTTTTTATTGATTAAATTGTATTTTATCTATATATTAGGAATATTATCAAGGAAAAAAAATTCTAAATTCTAAATTTGGAATTCAATTTTAAGGAAATAATGCATTAAATTTAAATTTTCAATGTGTTTTCCTTATTTACCTTAAAGGGTAAAATCGACACAACAAAAAAGTAATAAATGTCAAAGGACCTACATCTAAAACCAAAAACACGAGGACTAGACCCAATGATAGCTAATCGTTTTGGACCTAGATCTAAGAACCCCCAAAAATTAAGCCACATTGCTAAATTTACATTCTAGTTTAAATGAGAAATTAATGCCTCTGAAACCCCATAAACTAGCATCCTTCATTAAGAACAACAGGTTGTATTTGGGACACTATATGTTCATCTCACTAGTTTCCACCACTTTTATCTTTCAACATGCTAAAATATATATATGCATGGCACCAAAATCATCAAATGTGGTCCAGAGGTTATAACTTATTAAGGCAGAGCAGTTTAATCAAACATTAATTCTAAGTTAGGGAGATATTTTAGAAAATAATATTAAGAAAAAAGAATGAGAAGCCAAATTGCAGATATATAACTCAAAAAACCGCCCAAAAGTCAAACCAGACCAAAAATAAATGTACATACACTGATTAATTCCTTACGAGCCTCCTCCACTTCATCATTACTCCTCCGCTCCTTAAAAATAAGTGTTACAAAAAGTTGCTCTACATGGGTATACTCTTCCTGCTTCTCCTTTAACTTCTCTTGAATTTCATCCATCTTCTTCTTGGCTTCCGAATCCTCATCCTCATGCATGTGTTTCATCACCTTTAAAGCACCTCTCATTCGCTCTATCTCAAGCTCCAGTACCTGTTTGGCATCAAGCTGCTTTTCCAACTCAATGATTCTCTTGTGAAGTTTCTCCTCTACTCTCTGCAATTGTCATCCAATCAGTAAACACAATTTCAGATACTCATGCATTCAACTCTTCAAAATAATGAAAAAACAAACCTTTAGTTCTTCTGCTAACATCTTTTCGTCAACCTTCTTTTGCTCCACAGTAGCCATCTCATTCTAGAAGAGAACCAAAAAAAAAAAAAAACCCTATCAGCCTAAACTAAATAATAATTGCCAGTGATATCACACCTAATGAGATTCTGGACGCTAGATTAGACAAAGACGAGGACCAGACAATCTAAAGATTACTATGATGTCTAACTTCGAAAATATAGAAAATCAAGGTAGAGTTTGCACAAAATTCAAACTAGAATACAAGGTCAACTTTGTACATCCTCAACGTACTCTACCAACTCAAACCAGAAGCACATAGGACAAGAGTTTCTGACATGTCGGTGTTATACTAGTGGAATATCAAATAAGTTGGGCAGCAGATAATGTAAAAGGAAACTTAATGTAAATGTTCTATTTCGTTGATCTTATTCTCTTGGTTCTCTCTTATACTTCTAAAATTCTAATTCCAATGTTAGCACACCAATTTACAACCTACGTCACGTTTAAACTGACTCTGAACAAGTATCATATGCAACCCAGAAGTAAATTCCAGAGATACATCTCAATAATATACAAAGTTACAAACAGAGCCAAAGTTTATGATGGAAACAATAAGGTAGTTTCCTTTCATGATAGATTTTCCTTTTCTCCAAGGTAGTTTCCTCATACTGAGAGAAAAAGGCACAGCATTAGCTCATATTAAATCATAATTGCCAAGAACATCTAAGCCGATCATTTTCTTGCCCAAAGGAGATGACTAAACTATCAAAAGATAAGTTAATTGGTTTTAACTAAGTTGAGAAAATGATTGTACCATTTGCTTATGAACTTCAAGCTCGTTCTTTTGTGCTTCACTTTGCTCAAGCTTTTTCTGAAGCTCTTTCTTCTGAGCTTCACTGTGATCAAGCTTTTTCTGAAGATCTTTATTGTGAGATTCACTCTGCTCAAGTTTTTTCATGAGCTCTTTCTTTTGTGTCTCAAAATGCTCAACACAAAACTCAGACTCACCAATATCCATTTCTTCTGAACCATGAGACATTTCAGACCTGCAATACTGAAGTAAAATAAATAAGTAAAAAACCTAAGATTCAACTTCAATCCTACCTCTATAAAAGCAAACAAACAAAAGGAAACAAGGCACATGCAGACAAATCATAAAGGTTGTGTCTTTCATCTTTAACTTTGCGGAAAATGGAAACACAAGCAAAGAAAAAGTTTCCTAACAAAGAAAAAGGGTGGAAATTAACTTCCACTTGAGTCATTTTACCGGCAGGTCCCAAAACCATCTTCGCATTTTTATTTTACCATTTTTCCTGACCTTTTCTTAGCAACCAAACAATGCATTTTATTAAACAACAAAATCTGCATACACTTTACACACAATCATCAACGTCCAAACGAGAGATAGACCTTACTCTTCAGCGACTGTTCTCTCTATGGATGCACAGACAACCGAATGCTACTCCTTGGGGTTCCAGGAAGATGAAAATATCTTTTTTTTCTCTTTCTTTCCTTTTTTTGATGAAGGGAAGATGAAAAGAGCTGGATAAAAACCCAAAAAGAAAAATTGTTGTTTATAAAAGACACGTGGAATCAGCAGATTGGATAATTAGAAACACGCGCCAACGAGCAGAAGTCAATAGTTGAATGGTTTTTCTTTACGAAGGGCTTTAAACATCTCAACTACCACAATTTTTTCTATTTTATCTTTATAATTTAAAAATAAAAACGAAGAGAGAGAGAATGAGAATGAGAATGTGAATGAACGGCGGCCAGCTGGGGAAGGCGATCCGGGGAGGGAAGGAGGAAGAAGGGCCGGGGGATTTTTCAATTTCTGGTGTTTTTAGTTAATATGCTTCTTTTCATTTTTTTATAAATTGGAAAGTTTTGATAAAAACATAAGGGCTTAAATGTCCAAACAACACTTGTTAGAAGTGCCAACTCGGTTTTATGTTTGGATGTTTACACCACAAGGCACATCCAAGGCCAACAAACACTTGTTGAGCAAGCAATTAGACCATCCATTTTCAAAATCATCATCTTCCTTCAACGAAAGAGAAACTTGGTGTACTATAGTAGCAGCAAGTGTAGCTAAATATTGCTCCAATGTTTGTGAACGATGAAAATAGTAGTAGAACTTAATTGAAATATACCAAAGTTTGTGTGGCGCAATTTCAAGCATACAACGTGAACAATTTCACTATGTGATGTAGAGCACGCACGGCCATAGGTCTTCACACATAAACAATCATGCTCTAATACCATGTTAGAATGCAAGTGCCCAACCCAAGACCAATTGCCAATGGGTTGAGAGCGAGGCCCATCAACACTACCGAGAACAGAGAGATAAGCCGCCATTGATCCAGATATAAAACAACTCCATAGCATCTACATTTTCTTTGTTGAAAGCTAAGAGACGAGATTTTGGTCAAGCAGCGACCAAATGTTGCCATGCCCAATTGTGTGTTCCAACTTCTAACAACTAATACTAGTTAAGAAATATAAAGTCAAATTTAATCTGCCCTCAATCAAACTGTTGCATCAGATGCCAAAACTATCTTCTTAATACTAAATCTATCAATCAGACAACAGACAAGCAATTGCAACGAACATTAACAGCAGCTAGTTGACACTTTTAAAGGAAGTTCTTTGAGCACCCCCATCCATATTCCAAAATGCCTGCAAAATGCACACAAGGAAATAAACCATTGTATAAGAACAAAAATTGCAACAATTAAACTACATGCTACACATGATGCCATAGATTCCTTAGTACCAAGTTTGGTCGGCATACTGTCTTCGTAGCGTATTTACCAGTTCAAATTTATTGTAATATTAAAGCAAACTGTGATGACAATTATAAGGGAATCCTTATCAACATTAAGTTTAATAATGTAACTGATCGTCAATTCTTAACCTTGAAAGAGTTCAAATATCTCTTAAGCAGAAAGCTCCATATGAAGTAACATTTAAGTACTTGCCTTGTTTATCTTTTCCGTTTTCTAAGCAGCTTCCACTTGTTTAGCAAAAACACCACTCCCTCTTCCAACAATGCCTTCCTCCCTTCTTTGAAGTTCCACAGCTCAGGTATTGTATACCGACCACTGGCATTATACTCATTCAATTCCATCATAGCAGTTGTCACCTTCTCGTATACTTCATCACCCAGCTCATTTTTTAAAGCCTTCAATTTGTCATCTTCTTCATTAATAATTTCCTGTACTCGCATCCAATATTACCCAATTAACAGGAAAGTAAGATGTGGATCAAAACTAGAAGAGTTTAACTACAAAGAAGCAGTAGCATGAAAAAAGGAACAAAAAAATGACAATCTTGTGGTGGGTAGAACTCAGTGAAAGGGGCAGTCCAACAGACAAATTAGAAGCTTGGGGTACAAGCTCACTGTGATATAGGACCTAGCATATGAGATAAAGCACAATCTCACATTGAGATGCTAGAAACCTTCAAGAAGAAATGTTGCTATACTACAGGGTTGAGCAGAGGATGGGGAAAAGAAAATTAACATGCAGATTGCAATTTCACAGGATGGACCACATGGATATGTTTTTAATAAAACCTCAGGTGCTCAAATTTGCGGGGACAGTGACATGACCATTTCTTTAACTGAAACCATGCTCACTCAATATAAGTTAAATTGGTGCCAGTGTCACCAACAACGGTATTCTATTGAAACACAGAAATTGCTTGAAGTTGAACATATACCTTGGTCTTTCCTTCTTTATCTGTGATAATCCTGAAAGGATGCCAACTTGGATCCCTAAGATGCTCCTGCCACAGAGAACATAACTCCACTGCCTTCACATCTGCTTCTTCTTCAGAATATCTCTTCTTGGTTGCAGTTTGGAATGGTTTTTCATCAAGATCTCCCATTATCTTCACACCAATGGAAGCACGGCTGCTTGAACCCCGCAATTCCTGCAAAGAACAAAGTTTAAGCTCCGACAACACAACAAAAACGCTATCACATTGATAAGCAAGGATGAACAACCACAATGATAAGGAAGAATTACTGATCATTAAACCACACAATAACAAAGGATCACGATCAAAAATTATAGAAAATTTGGCATAAGTCCAATTATGAGGAGAGATTTTGGGTGCAATCCACGCAGAAATTGTTGTTGATCCAAGTCCTTTGACTTTTGCGCCACATAAGATTACATGCCTATTTCAATTTATTGATATTTACTTTTTTTAATTTTTAATTTTTTGTTCCAGTTATGCACCTAAAACATAAATAAGGTAAATTATGAATTCCTAAAACAAAGTCAGGGAGAAAGTTTAGAAAATAATATTAAGAAAAAAGAATGAGAAGCCAAATTAGAGAGATATAATTCAATAAATCCCCCAAGACTCAAACCAGACCCAAAAAAAATTGTACATACATTGATTACTGCCTTACGAGCCTCCTGCACTTCATCATTATTCCTCCGCTCCATAACAATAAGTGTTTTATAAAGTTCCTCTACATCGGTATACTCCTCCTCCTTCTCCTGTAACTTCTCTTTAATTTCAGTCATCTTCTTCCTGGCTTCCAAATCCTCATCCTCATCCATGTGGTTCATCACCTTTAAAGCACCTCTCATTCGCTCTATCTCAAGCTCCAGTACCTGTTTGGCATCAAGCTGCTTTTCCAACTCAATGATTCTCTTGTGAAGTTTCTCCTTTTCTCTCTGCAATTTCCGTCCAATCAGTAAACACAATTTCAGATAATTATGCATTCAACTCTTAAAGTTTCAAATAAATAATGGAAACAAACCTTTTGTTCTTCTGCTAACCGTAACATCTTTTCGTCAGCCTTCTTTTGCTCCAAGGTAGCCATCTCATTCTAGAAAACAACCACGCAAAAACTCTATAAGCCTACACTAAATAACAATTTCCAGGAATATCACACCTAATGAGACTTTGGACGCTAGATTAGACAAAGAAGAGAACCAGAAAATCTAAAGATAACTATGATGCCTGACTTCGAAAATATAGAAAATCAATGAAGAGTTACACAAAATTTAAACTAGAATACAGGGTCAACTTTGTACATCCACAATGTACCTTACCAACTCAAACCAGAAGCGCATAGGACAAGAGTTTCTGACTAGCCTGTGTTATACTAGTGAAATATCAAATAAGTTGGGCAGCAGAAAAATGTAAAAGGAAACTTAATGTAATGTTCTAACTCATTGATCTTATTCTATTAGTTCTCTCTTATCCTTCTAAAATTCTAATTCCAACGTTAGTGCACCAGGTTCACGTTTAAAATGGCTCTGAACAAATATCAAATGCAACCTAGAAGTTAATGCCAGTGATACATCTCTATAATATACAAACAGAGCCTAAGTTTATGATGGAAACAATAAGATTACCATTTTCCTTTCATGATAGATTTTCCTTCTCTCACTATCATTTTGTGCACGGCGTTGTTGCAGTTGTTTCTCACGGTCCTCAAGCTCTTTTTTTTTAGCTTCCAACTCCAATGCGGTTTTCTTGTGGTCTAAGCATATCTTTGCCAATTGGTCATGAGCAATTTTTTGCATTTTTTCTCTTTCTAAACACATAAATTGAAATATAATGTAAGCAAACACACGAATGAAACTGGGAAATAAAAGAATAAATTTGACGTACACTCATTATATAAAGTAGGAGAAAGCATACTTTCATTGCAAGCTTTGAGAACTGACTAGCCTGTGTTATACTAGTGAAATATCAAATAAGTTGGGCAGCAGAAAAATGTAAAAGGAAACTTAATGTAATGTTCTAACTCATTGATCTTATTCTATTAGTTCTCTCTTATCCTTCTAAAATTCTAATTCCAACGTTAGTGCACCAGGTTCACGTTTAAAATGGCTCTGAACAAATATCAAATGCAACCTAGAAGTTAATGCCAGTGATACATCTCTATAATATACAAACAGAGCCTAAGTTTATGATGGAAACAATAAGATTACCATTTTCCTTTCATGATAGATTTTCCTTCTCTCACTATCATTTTGTGCACGGCGTTGTTGCAGTTGTTTCTCACGGTCCTCAAGCTCTTTTTTTTTAGCTTCCAACTCCAATGCGGTTTTCTTGTGGTCTAAGCATATCTTTGCCAATTGGTCATGAGCAATTTTTTGCATTTTTTCTCTTTCTAAACACATAAATTGAAATATAATGTAAGCAAACACACGAATGAAACTGGGAAATAAAAGAATAAATTTGACGTACACTCATTATATAAAGTAGGAGAAAGCATACTTTCATTGCAAGCTTTGAGAATATCCTCCTTTTCAGCCTCCAACTTGTTTAAGGCATCGTCAGTGGTACGACATTTTCTTTCCATCTCCTTTAGATGTGAATTCTTTATAACTAAGGTGCTAGTTAGAGTGGTAACTAGCTTTGAATTTTTCGTATGTTCTTCTTCTTGTTGAGCAGAAACAGTTTTCAAATCTCCATTCTTACGAAGATAATCACCCACAGTGCTTCTCAAATTGTAATCATCATCCCGAGCAACCCATCCATACAAGTTAACTCCTCGATTCCTGGTTACATTGTAGTCCCCTTTTCCACGGTGATCAACTTCAAAACTCTTGTCAAAGGACTTTGCATTATGGAAACCTTCCCAGCTTTTCTCAAATTCAACAATTGCAAACCCGGAGTGACCCCTGTATGTCCATAAAGGATGAACCCTCAAAGGGTTAAAACCTTTACTTGCCAAGTCAGTTTTAAGTTTGGAACCACTTTCCCCAACATGTCTTCCATCCTTTAGTTCAGTTCTAACATTTGCCAAAATGGCCATTGGAGGCCATACAAACCATTGGTCATCCTCCTGTGTAGCAAGGGTTGAACCAGCCTTAGAACCTGTTGGGGGTTGTGCCTTTGGGGTGGGGAGAGTGGGGGCTGGGAAGAAGCTGGGAAGAAGCTGAGAGTGGGCTTGAGGTTCAGAATAAATAGACTTTTCTCTGATTTGGGAGGAGCCCACTACAGCCACCACCTGAGTCCGTCTCTGCGAGTGTTTAGGGCTTTCAATCTCGGGTGCAGATTCTAACCGACTCTTCACATAAAGATATCTGTCTATATACCTCTCCAAAGCCAAGTGCTTTGATTTCTCTTTTAAACCCTTGCTGTCTCTGCCAATGTCATACGCATGTCGTGAAAGCTCCTTTAGTCGGTAATCGTGCCTCCTCTTCCCATCGCAAAATGGGCATCTATAAGTTGAATCAGAATTTTTAACCTTAACACTACCTTTCTTTAACTGATAGTAATACTCGTCCACATAGTCTTCTAATTCAGACCGGCTATACCCCTTTTCTTCTTTTGATCTGTGAGACATCTCAAACCTGCAATGCAGAAATCATATCTACGATTAAACTTCTAATTTCATTTCAGCTCTTCACTTCAAAGCAACTAAACAAGGCAATAAGGTACAAAAAGTATCGAGCTTAAGATAAGGGATAACGCAAGTTGAAGATATTGCTCTTGCAGCAAAGAGAGCAGGCCACAGATTTGTGCCGTTGGCTGCAATTGTTTATATTTTACAACCTCAATGCAGAAACACCCATGAATAAAAGGAAGGAATTGTAGTCATTTAAGTCAACCTCTTGATATTCTTGAATAATTCAATGAATTGACATTTTTGAATAATTATAATAGAAAGTATCTATCTATTACCATGGAAATGTGATTAAGTACTAATAATAGGTCAGAATTCAATGACTAAACAAGAGAAAGGTACATCATTAATTCAATGTTTGAAAACCAAGATCTAATTGTTTGTAAACGGATGTTATAAGGATGCATATACACAAATGACAAATCTATAAGGTTTTAGTAGATTTAAATTTTAATCAAGGCTATGTATGCATGTCTAGAAACGTTAAATTATATCCTGAGATACAAGAAGTATGTAACAAATAAATTTATATAGACTGTTTACAAATTTATAAGTTATTGGTTTTAAAATGGAATTACTATGTAAAATAGATCTTGACCATAAATATATATATAATAGATAAATATAACATTTGCAAGGGGAAGTTTATTTATTACCATGGAAATGTGTCAGGATGTTTACTTTAAGATGTTTAGGAGTTAGATTTCAGACAAAACCACCGCAGTAGGCAGTATACAGCACAACACTCAAACTTTCATTTTCCTTTTTGTTTCCCCAATATTTTCTCAGCAATCAAACACTCCAGTGCAATTGTAAACAATAAAAAATGGCAAAAGCACAATAATCAATACACAAAACCAAAAATTTCTTTAGCTAATCCCCTGTTTGGTTGCTCAAAAATACAGACAGCCAACCTGTCTTCCTTGGGAAACCAAACAGAGCCCAAAAAAAAAAAAAAAAAACTTGCATTAAGATCAAAATCCGTACCTCGCTTTCTCGGAATCAGAGTTTCGAAACCCTAACCGCAGCTCTCAAATATGCGACCGGCGAAGAAACAACGTCAACAGACTTTGAGAGAGAAAACCAGCGGAAACGACGCCGGGGCGAGTTGAAAACCAGGCGACGAAGAAAAGAGAGAGACTATGAGAGAGAAATGGGGTCTAGGTTTTTAGAGAGAGAAAGAGTGAGAAGATTCTGGAATTTTTGAGAGAGAGAGGGGGGAAGCATAGCGAATGAGGAGACTCGCTCCGCTCTGCAACTTCAACTTCAACACACTATTTTTGCTTCGTTCCTGAAAAACATCCATTCTTGATTTTCTCTCGTTTTCGATTTTTTTTGTTTTCATCATTTTAGGAAACGCATTCGCGAGTGTAGAATGATAACCACTACTTGCGAGCGGTTGCGTTAGATTTCAGTGGCTACTTGATCGGAGGGTCAGATGTCTCTAATAATTGCGAGTGTGGAGGTTTAGAGAAACGTAGAGGCGTTGGGGGTTCGTGTTAGATACGCTTGGTGTGGGCTGATCTTGTAGGCCAGGGAGGACACGTGGAGACTAGAGAATGGATGTGCCAATTGGCAGGTGTACGGGACTAACAGCAGTGAAGAAAATGGCTTGGCTGGAAAATTGGATTATAAAACCACATTAATATGATTGAGAACAATTTGTTTTGTAAATTTCTTATTATGGAACTCATTCTAATTTCCCTCCTCCGTGACTCATGTAAAGCCCTTGTTGACTAGGCATAAAAAACCCTCCGAAAGAGAAAATGCTTGTACTACGAAAACATAACTAATTTCAATCTGATGAGCTCCTATATAGTGACGGAAGTTGAGGTTTCACCCCAAAATCAATTGGCAATGGGGAGAGTAGTAGCCCAACTCCTTATAAATCCAAGCTTAGTCCCTTAACTTTTCAATGTGGAACAAATACTCTTAACACGCCCCCATACATGTGGCGAACTTTTAAGCCTAACACGTGGACAACACATATTGGGTGACGTGAGAGCACGTGTGGCCATTGGGTCCAACACGTGAAGCCTTACTCGGATACCATGAAGGAAGTTGAGGTTCCACCCCAAAATCAATTGGCAATGGGGGGAGTAGCCCAACTCTTTATAAACCCAAGCTTGGTCTTTTAACTTTTCAATGTGGGACAAATACTCTCAACATATAGAAGAGTCTATCATTTTCTGATCAGATTATGAAATTTCGGAACATTTTGACTATTAGAATTAACAAAGACATCAAAATTAAATTTAACCATTTGAATTAACTGATGCGGCAGTATTTCATTTGTTTTCATTTTGAGCCACTATAAACGGGCAAACAAAAATTTGTCACATCAGTTAATATCTTAGAGCATAAGTTAACATCTTAGTATCTACAATTAGCGTGGACAACACATATTGGGTGACGTGAGAGCACATGTGGCCGTTGGGTCCAACACGTGAAGTCTTACTCTGATACCATGAAGGAAGTTGAGGTTCCACCCCAAAACCAATTGGCAATGGGGGGAGTAGCCCAACTCTTTATAAACCCAAGCTTGGTCTCTTAACTTTTCAATGTGGGACAAATACTCTCAACATATAGAAGAGTCTATCATTTTCTGATCAGATGATGAAATTTCGGAACATTTTGACTATTAGAATTAACAAAGACATCAAAATTAAATTTAACCATTTGAATTAACTGATGCGGCAGCATTTCATTTGTTTTCATTTTGAGCCACTATAAACGGGCAAACAAAAATTTGTCACATCAGTTAATATCTTAGAGCATAAGTTAACATCTTAGTATCTACAATTAGCTAATAACAAAAGTTGGTTGGGCTATAGGCTATTATATAGCTGTTGCATTACAGCTAATACATAAAGGTCTGGTAATGCTTCCTTTTTATTTTGATGTCTGTCTGGTCAACAGAAAAAAAAAAGTCTGTCTTGGCTCTGATTTCTAGTTGTGGCAGCAAGCTAAGCAATATGGAGGCCTAGAGTTCCTCTCCTATAATCAAGTGCAAAGATATGGTTTGCAATTCAGAAGGGGAATTGTCCCTTTGATCAAAGGCCTTGATGTGGTTGAACAAGCTATATTTGGAACCAAGAAAACAGCAACAGTGACTATTTAGGAAGAGCCAGATCGAAGCTCAAGCATGACAAAACTTTCTGAATTAATTACTATTAGGACATGTTTACATACCTGGAAAGGGAATGAGAGAACTGGAAGTCATTCCCATTCCTGACCACTTCATTATTTACTTGCATGTTATGAATGAAAATTTATACGGGGCCCAAAAGCTCTTTTGCTTGATATAGGGGCAATTGCATTCTGAATGAGGGAGGTAGAAATTGGGCATGGATGAATCGGATTGGACAGTTTTGTACACAAATTGACCTCGTATATTTTGTGAAACACCAAAAAACCCAACCAAAAAAAAAAGAGAAGTTGCTGCCTTTTTATTTGAACATAAATATATTTAAATTAATTTCATATATTTAGATATACAGTCCTGATCTCTTGGACCACATGAGTCCAAGAAATTGTAGTCACCTACCGTTGGATATAAATCCAATGATTCAAAAAAGTTTCTTAAAATGAGTGCAAGAGTGAGTGAACCGTTAAATTTACATCCAACGGTGAGTGACCACAAATCTCTTGGACTCCTGTGGTCCAAGAGATCGGGACTGTTTAGATATACTAGGAAGTAATAATTAAACTTATAAAACATGGTTATTTTTACGAATATTAAATTGGATTTATTATTACTATATAACAATCCCGATCTATTGGACTATAGGGGTCCAAGAGATTTGTGGTCACTATCCGTTAGATGTAAATTCAATGACTCACTCATTCTTGCACTCTTTTTAAGAAACTTTTTTGAACCGTTAGATTAATATCAAACGGTAAGTGACCACAATCTCTTGGACACCTGTGGTCCAAGAGATCGGAAAGTTAGTTTTTTTTTTTTTGGGTAAAAAAAAAGGTTTATTATTAGATTACACAACTTTTGTCATTTGTTCTATGTAATATATTTTTTGTTGTTTAAAACAAAAAAATTTATCATTTGAAAAATTGTGTAAGTAGTTGAACAATTTGAATTTGTTTTGCAAGGGCATTTTGGTAATCAAACCAATTTTGATTTTGATTCTTAACAATAGTAAACAGTTTGAATGAGAATCAGTTTTGTTTTCATTTTGATTCATGACAATTAGTAAACAACTTAATTGAAATGCTTGACTCGGATTCATGCTTAACCCGATTCCTAAATAATCTGATTCATGTTTATCCCGATTCATGATTAATAAGCATGCCCTTAAATGATATAACATGTGTCAATTAATTGATTGTGTTTTGACCTTGTTGAATGGGTGTGGGCCTTATACTCTCGCCCAATTAGGCATTTTTTTAGCCATAAAATTAACTCAGTAGTAAATCCTAAAGATCAACTTGTAGTCGCAAGGGGTTTGCAGGTCAAGTGTTTAAGAGCATTTATCCTTACACATGAGGTCATGTGTTCGAATCTTCGTTCCTAAATGTCGCATGCATTACCCAAAAAAAAATTATCAAGTTGGAGTCACTAACATTAGCATGAAAGTGTATCAATGCATGCAATACAAATATGACTCATACATTGTTGTCTGTGTGACGTGCCATGACTGAGCTCTGTGATCTTTTGAAAGGGTCACAACATTTCCCATAATTGAATTTATTTATTTTTAATTATATTTTTTAGAGTCTTCAATGACTACTTGGGCGCTGTTTGGATTATTTGAACCTTTTTAGATACATTCATAACAAGAAAAAGACTTAGATAACTCTTCAGAAACAGAAATAATCTTGAATAAATAAATAAATAAAAAGACTCTTGTTGATAAACAAAATTTTATAATTACTTACCCATATAGCCATATATGGCAAAATATTCCATTGCTAGTGTTGATGATTATAACTCTTCATAAATAAGCGTCACAAGAAATAAATTAGTTTAACAAGTAACAAATAACCCACATGCATAAATTACATCAAACATTTAAATTTGCCCATTCATATCATGATTATCTGTTTTGGGTTTGAATAATCAAAACAATTAATTCATATTGAGTTCAAAACATCAGAGAGTCCTACGAGTATAGCTCACGAAATTAAGCTTTTTGGTGGTCCAAGAGTTTATACACATATTTTGCAAAAGATTTGGAAAGCTCAAAAATATGTTGACACATCAATATCAGGTAAGAGTTTTGTCTTGTAACATTGTCTTCGTCGATTTTACGGGTCACGATTAGATGTCTCAACGGCTTTCAAAAATCTCATATTATTGAAATACAATATAGAGTGGATACAGCAAAACACTTATAAATATATTTATTTGAAGAAGGGACCGGTGTATTTATGATTGTTTGTTCTTGGGCTATAAGTAGAATAGGGTTTAGCATACTTTCCCTAAAAAAGACATAACCACACTTTCCATACTCGAGTTCTCAACCCACAACTCTGATCACTCTCACTCAAGTGTCCTTTTCGTCCTCCAAACTTCAAAAACCTTTCACTCTCATCACCACAACCACATTGCCTTCCATCTCCATATACATCTCTGCAAACTCAGCATGTCCGGGGTGTGGATATTCGACAAAAACGGCGTCGCTCGGCTGATCACGAACCCGACGAGGGAGTCTTTTGAGCAAAAAGAGCCGCCCTATCCTGGCACAGCCACTGCGCCGGGGGCTCGACCGCGGGTCTTGGTCTACCTCCCAGCCAACCACGTCATTCGCTCCTACTCAGAACTCGAGCAGCGACTCACTGAACTCGGCTGGACTCGCTACCCCAACTCGCTCCGGCCCGACCTCCTGCAGTTCCACCGGTCTGAGAGCTCAGCCGACCTCATCTCGCTCCC